GTGTTTCTTCACCGAATATTGATCTCTGAAATACGGCTGAAACTAACAAATATTGATTAATCTAGTCAAAATAATCTATTGATTATTTTGACGATTAGTTAATAGGACCAAAAGGCACATTCTGAGGAATTTTTAATAACCACTTATATAGTATCAGAAACTAATTAAAAGATGAAAGTAAACAAATAATTCAATTAAGTCTTTGCCTAAAATTCAATAAGATAGCATTCCTTTAGTGTCTGCTTAATCGTTTGTAGCAGAGGATACATCTGCAACTAAAAAAATACTTTTAATATCAACATGTGAAAAGTTCAGCCCTTTATGTTTGACTTAACATTAATACACTGAAGAATTGATTTAGTAATTGGATTCAAAAGGTGATTAATATGAGAATTTTTTAACAGGAATGGAACCAGGTGAAGCTAAAACTGACATTGAGGAGTTCTAGGTCGAACATATTTACAAAAAAAGATTGTTCATCTTAAATATAAAGTTTATAGATTTTTTTTGTTAGTTTGGGCTTAATTACTTCTCAGAATATAAAGTTTTTTTCAGCAAACAGAGTCTGTTACTCCGTTAACGATTAATCGGTAATTAAATTAGTTGACAATCATTTTGATAATTAATCACAACTAATAATTTCAGCCCTACTCTGGATTGATTTTTCCTAGAGCAAACCATTGGTACTCTTCATTAAACATTGATAAGATTTGTTTTTCTTTTTTAATATATTAACTTCAAAACATTGAAACTGCAATATTTTTACCCAGAATTTGGAAGAAAAGTCCTGTTCTGATGCAGTATTTGTTTGCAGATCATAATTCACAATCTACATCTCTATGTCCTGTTGTGCGTGTCATGTTCATATTTTAGTGTGGAAATTGTAAAAAGTTAGGGATATGTGTTTAAAATCAAAGAAGCTAAATAATTAGCAGCAATCTCTTACGATTTTTTTAACAGACCTACGAGCAGGTTCTGCTCGTAGGTCTGTGATAATCGATGCTGCTTGTGTTTTTTTGCAGGGCAGTGAGCTGCTATCCCAGACACGTAGTAAATTACTGGGCGAAGGTAGCGAGGATGGTGGGAACACGTTCAGCTGAAGAGTGCTACAAGCAGCACACCTGCCAGGGAAACACCCAGAGTCCCAAGAAAAGCACCAAGAGATGCAAAAAGGTGAAGGAAGTGGCGGCAAAACCTGCAGGTAAATATGGACGCCTTGCAGCAGGAAAGACCGCGATGAACAATCTGGAATAACTAATAACTAGATCTGCACAATATATAGTTTTGTGCAATATTACAATGATTCAGGACATTATGTTTTTATACATATATACCAATAATTAATCACAATTAATGAACTATTGGAGTAATTCTCAACTAATTTAGCAATTGATTGATTGTTAGATGGGATGCAGGGTCAGATAAAAACATTTTCTGAAGAAAAATAAACTTATTCGGAGCAGCAATTAAGCCAAAACTGTACTAAATATTTAAACACGTTTTATATTTAAGATAAAAACATCATTATCTGTAATGGAAAGAACTCATCAAGTGGGACAGTTGTAGCTTCACACAGTTGAACTTAACTAGAGAAATGTTGCATTTTTCCACTTTAGGCAATAAAATGTTTATTTTCTCTTTTTAAAAAATAATGATTTAAGTTTTTTAATGAATTTATAATATGTGTATCATATTTGTCCCCTTCCAGAGATTCCTGTGATATCCGCCAGAGTCGGGACGCTGAAGAGGATTAAGCAGGTGCGGCAGTTCCTGGAGAATCTGCCCAGAGACGACGTGGACGATGCTTTCAGCTCGGCCTACATGCAGAACAAACGCATGGAGGTGGGTTTCCATCACTTCATCGTTTTATTTCCATCCTGATCCCTAGCTAGCTAGCTGGGAGACGTTTGTCTTCGCTATTGCTTCATTTCTGTTGCTAACCGCTATGGTTAGCTTTGTATCAGGTTGGGGTTAGGGGTTAGAGTTTATTTTTTTCTGTGCAAAAACAAGCTCTTCACAGAAAACGGTGTGTTGGAGGTTTAGTGGATTTTACCTATTTTCACTTCAACAAAGTTGTTCCTGTTTAGTTTATTCAGGATCTACAGCTATTCTTAAATTACTAAATCAGTTCATAGAAATAAAAACAAACAAACAAAACAGACATGGAGGGCAACATGGCAAAATGCAACTTTGGGTTAAACACATAATAAACTGAAGTGTTATAAATATCAGATCACAACCAGGAACTTAAATTGTTTAGAGTTTGCTAAAACATTGTTTTATCTGTCCTTCACATTTTATTTTACTGTCACTAAATATAACATCAGTTGGCATTAAATTCCACAATTGCATCCCAAGGAGCAACACAGCTACTTTCTGTGCATTAGTTATAACTTTTTGGTAAAGTACATCTCTTTTCGATAGCATTCCTAGTAAAATGAATATGTACATTTTGGTTGAATTATATATTTTGAAGTATAATTAAATATATATAATATGTGATTTTCTTTTTTTACATTGCTGTGGTGATAAAGGTCTTAAACTTTGTTCAAATAGTTTTTTAAAATTCTTGAGTTGGTGAACCTTGCAGAAACCCTTCATGAGGGATTTTCTCTGTGTCGATGCTCAGATCCCCTCCTTGTGTTCGAGTGAAGATCTCGATTTTGCGATATCAGACCCGGAGCCTCAGACGCCGATGTCGTCGTGTTTCCCTGAGGCGAAGACGCCTCAGTGTTTGCACATAACTCCCGGCATGCTCGGCTCTCCAAACACGTAAGGCTTTCTAACACATGGAAAGAACAAACACAAACAAGCGTCTCACGTTTCATTTTTCGCTTCTAAAGGAAAAATGAAGACAAGTACGTCTTCCAGCTACAGAAGAGGATGAAGAAGAATCAGTTTAATGTCCGCAAAACCTCGTCTTCTAAAACGGTACCGACTCCTAGTGAATCAAAGGTTTTCTTTCTGAGATTTACAGGATATGAAGTCACACATTTATCTCCTATTTTTATCTCTCAGAGGTTTTCACCCACACCTTCCGCCAAGCGAACTGTACGACGATGCGCTAACACAGGTAGGCTTAAACCTGTAGAAACTCATTATTTAAGAAAAAATAATGCCGTCATAAGTAATTTTCATTCTTTTTCACCTTTACTGCCTTATATGTCCAAAGCAAAGCAGCAATAAACTAGAAACATTTAACCCAAGTCATACGTACGGTTTATAGGCAAGACTACAAAATACTGAGGAAATGTATTTACACTTATATGACATCAGTAAATACATTTCTTTCTCTCATTCTTGTGGCATTTAGCAAATAGATATTATTGTACTAATTCTAACTAACCTGAAACAAGAAAGGTTTTGTCTGATTTAACTTTATTTGGTACACATAGACGTCTCTAAACGTCACATTGAAGGTGGAAAAGGGTTTGAAAATTATTTATAATCAGTTCATTTTTTTTAAACCTCAAACATCTGGCTTTATTTTACTTTACACTAAACAAACTTCATTTTATTTGCCTTAAATCTATGTTGCCTTTGTCCAGGAAATGACACGTTCTTTGTGTTCGAGATGTTGCCCGGAGACGACGGCGAAACATCCGAAAGCGATGAGGAGGAAGACTTTTACTTCTCAGACAACTGATTTGGACTCATGGAATAAATGTACAAATATCTCAAGATTTTTAGTTGAAATTCTTTTCAGGAAACTCATAAAATCGCAGTGAAGGAGTAACGTTCAACCTCCTGAGGTTTTTCTTAGGAAATGCAGCGAGTTGGACGTTTAAACACACTTCTGTTGCTGGTTTGATCTAAAAAGTGATGCTCCTGTGGACTTCTGTAAATATACTATTTCCTTAAAATCCTTCAAAGAACCAGTTGTAATTACCTTTTTGAATAAACGTTTTTATATTCTTTCACTATTGGTTGATTTGTAATTAGATTAACTTAAAGGCAGAATACGTCAGATGTGTGAAATTGTGTATTTTGGACAAAATGTTTTAAATAAACGATATATTGCTGGTGAAAATCTTAAATGATCAGAAGGTACATATTTACCTGTTTAGGTATTTTTGTGAAGTTGCATCTGTCAGTATGAAGATTGTTGTTGATTATTTTTACTTGTATTTAATCTGAAATTAATCTAAATTGACCACCGGTTTCTAAAGTATAGTCCCTATTTCCAATAATGCTTGAAATCCAGTTTTAAAAACTTTAAGCAAAGGAATTCATTATAGCAAATTTATCATATTTTTATTTTATAAAGAAACTATTTTCAGTAATAATTTCTGTTTATGTGTATTCAACTGAAGTCCTTTCCTTGATTTGATCCTTCTTGATTTTTTTACTTTTCTTGTCTTCTTGTTTTTGTCTAGCATAAAACACTTCATAAAGACTGGATGATCTAACTTACATCCACTGACTTAGGTCAGGGATCTGTAACCTTAATAGCCTAATTCAACTTTAAAAAACAAAATAAAACACTCATTTATAAATATCTTAAAATTTTATAAAAATGAATCTAAAAAAACACTTTCTCATTTTCAGCTTCAAGATAAAATTATTTATGGAAAATTTTGTATAAGAGAAAAAAAATCATGTGGATACTAACCCTTCAAAAAAGCAAATGTTAATTCATGAAAAAAAATTCCTTAAAAGTATATTATTTAACATTTCATTTTATAACGCTAAAATGTATTTTTTTTAAATATTGGTTTGTGTTTTCTGTCATTGGGAATGCAAACGATAAGAAAAAAATCAGGTGGATATCAACCCAAAAAAAGCAAAGGCGATTTTATGAAAAAAATCTCTTAAAAAATATAATTAATTGCTAATTATTTTATATTTTACTTTATAACGCTCAAATGTAATTATTATTTTTATACTTTTTTAAAAGTATCGGTTTGTGGTATCTGTCATCGGGAATGCAAACAATAAGGAAAAAAATCGTTGTTGGGGGAATAAACGTCACCAGTCACGTGACTCTCCTCTGTCTGATCGCGTCACGTGACTCTGTGCAGCCGCTCATTAAAGAGGACACAAGCTGACTTTAAACAGCAGCAGCAGCAGCCAAGGACACCATGAACACAATGTAAGTGCTCGTAACTTCTGACTGTTCAAAAACACATTTCATAATCTCACTACAGTCGGAGGGACTCTTTGAAACAGACGCGATTGTTTGTTTTTGTAATGTGACCCAGATTGAAGGCTGCCGCCTCAAACTGGAGCTGAACTGTGTCTGTAGTAGAAGAAGAAGAAGAAATGTTTATAAACAGAGTTTCTATAAATGAGCGAATCCTGTTAGAAACGGGTATTGAAGAATGTTAACACTCAGGCTGCTTTCAGCGTGTTGACTTCAAACTTCCGGGTGTGATTAGAATGAAAAGCGCCTTTTAATTGAGTTTTTCTCCAGCAGATTCTCCTTCTTGGTGCCTTTGCTGCTCGGCTCGTTGGTCTCCGGCGGGTTCCTCGAATATGACCAAAATGTCATGTAAGGAAACTTTTATCCCATCACTTTCTGGTTTTATTACTTAAAACTGTCATAATAATGATTTAAGGTCAGTTAGGATTTATTTGTATTTGAAGAAATATAGTCCAAGAACCAGACTTTTTATTATTATTATTATATTCTCTGTGTTAAATTTTTAATAGTGAATATTTATATTCTGCAGTTTTACAACTTTATTAGTGTATTTTTTATTTTAATGTTTTACTTTACTGGTCGATTGCTTTGACCGGGCCAGAGTAATGGATACTAGATCGAGTGCGCCAATCAAATCACAGTCCTTTGATCACGTGACAACCAGGTTTCGAAAGTCCGTCAGATGATTGATGACTTTGTTTCTGATTCGCGAGGAAAAACCTGTAAAAAAACAAAAAACATCTAATGAATAAAAAAAAATCTGATTTTACTGAAACTATATTTCAGTAAAATATAAATGTAGAGAACTCATTTCTCTACATTTACAGTTACTTTCTTTCAGCTAAGCACAACATTGATAAGGTTTTTATTCTGTTGGTGGGTTTTTTTCACTTATAACTTGGTTTAAGTGAAATAATCTGGAACAACAAATTACTGACTTAAAACAAGCTCTCATATCTTGCTGCAAAGTTCCTTGTCAGTTAGTTGTTTTTTTCCTCCCTTATTTCAAGTGTGCTGAAATATTTGTGCTAGAAATTGGACCATTATTACTTGGTAAGATTTTGTGTTTTTTCAGTGTGATGTCTTCTGTGACTCTTTATTTGTGTTTTTATGATGTAAAGAACTTTGAACTGACTTGTTCCTGAAATGTGCTACAAAAATAAACTTAATCGATTAAATTACTATCCAGGATAGTGAAAATGTGGTTCTGTCTTGTGAAGATGCATTTCTATACCTGGAATAGTCAGAAAACACTGATTATATGTTAAAATGGCCTGCCATAAAAGGCCAAAAACGAAGATATCAATGTATTTATTGATGTCGGATAGTAAACCCCAAATATTTATTTCTTTAGACTCCCTCAGGACTGGACCGAAGCAGGTAGGGTGGATCCTTCAGAGCAGCTGGAGTTGACCTTTGCCCTGAAGCAGCAGAACGTCGACCTTCTGGAGGAAACGCTCAGACGGGTGTCGGACCCCGACTCGCCTCAATATGGTAGGCACTGAGGCTTTTAAACAAACATTGGATCTGATTCTGTCTCTAAGTGAGAGATAAATGCTCTGTGCTGTGCAGGAAAACACCTGAGTCTGCAGGAAGTCTCCTCTCTGGTTCGTCCGTCTGCGATGACCCAGAAGGTGGTGCATCGCTGGCTGCAGACTCACGGGATTTCAAACTGCCGGACGGTTCGCACTCAGGACTTTTTACAGTGCACCATGACTGCAGAGTAAGCACATCTGCTCTCAACTGCTTCACTGTACTTTACTTTATTCCCTCGCTTGGGAGGCGACACAGATACTCGTACTTCTGCGGTTTTGCAACTTCTGTGAAAAGGTTCTGCTTTCATCATGTGAGGAAGTGCCTGATTTTGCAGTGAAGATGGTGAAACTGCGAGCTGCAATCTGCAGAGTTTAAAGCTGATTGAATCTAATGAAATGGCAGCTTTTCACAAAACGCTGTAAAACACAAAATCTTTAAGAGTGTTTGGTCTAGATTCCAGACAAAACTAACTTAGCAAGAAAAATGTTGTACAGTTTTGACTTAATTACTGCTCTGAATGTGTTGTTCTTTCAGCAAATGGCCTTTATGTCGAGTCCCTTTAAAGATTAATCAGTTTCTAAAGTAGTTGATTATTTAAATAATCAACTACTTAAATCTTAAATCTGGTTTCTTAGGCTGAAACTCTAGAGTGTGTCAAAGGTGCTGCTCACCTGTTCATTTTGATTACAGTAGTGAGTTTAACAGGATTGTTTTATTTATTTTGTTGAAAAGGGTTGCAGAGGCTCTTCTTCCAGGAAGTAGATTTCACCGTTACGTCAGAGACGATCTCTCCATCGTGAGATCTTCCAGTCCGTATTCAGTCCACGATGAGATTCACCAACATCTAGATTTTGGTGAGATTTTGCTCGTTTCTGAACTGATCTGCTGCTATGTTTTCAGGTCTGGTTCGGTTCTGATAGTTTGTTTCGCTCTTCCGTAGTCGGAGGCCTTCATCGTGTCCCGCCTCGAGGACAGGACGCTAACAGGAAGCGGCCGCGCTCCAAGGCAGGGGCTCACCTCGGCGTGACGCCAGCCGTCCTGAGAACTCGCTACAACCTGACGGCGACTGACGTGGGATCAGCTGTGAACAACAGCCAGGCCGTCGCTCAGGTTATTTCTCACTTTCTTTCTATTTGTACTTTATTTTTTATTCTTTTCCTCCTTGGTGGGAACCAAAACACAATCAACACCCTTTAGCCACAACAAATCAATATACAAAAGAACAAATGTTTCATGTTATCTCATCTTATGTTTTTCTTTTTTTTTTTAAGGTACATCATTTTCAAATACAAAATAATCAGAAATAACATGAAGCAATATAGCAAGGGGATGGCCAAAAATAAAGTAATAAAGTAAACTATTTTTACTATGCTGTACTTTTTAATTAACTTGAGTAATTTTATTATGAAATATTGCTACTTGAGTAAAATTTCTGGATTTTCTACACACTGAATGAAAAACAAACATGTTTAAACCAAAGACTTTCTGCAGTTTCTGTTGAAGTTTCGTAGTTTTTATTGAAAGAAACTAATTTAGAAAAATGTTCTTTTGCCTGTTTATTTTTATGTATTTATTTATTTTTGTTTCTTATATAAATAATTGTCATTTTGGTCATTAAAATACCAAAATCTCCACTTAACTTTATAATTTGTTAAGGGAAGATTATGTAATTTTTAAATATTGAATGAATAATAAAATTGATCGGTTACTGGAGTAGACTTTTTACCTATTACTTTTTTACTTTGAGTAATTTCTTGGCTACTTTTTTCCTTTTACTTGAGTAAAAATATAAAAATAAGCAATCTTTCTCAAACTGTGGTCCGCTGGCGCCCCCTGGTGGTGGGCAAGGTACTGCACGTAAACGACCGTTTATTTGCCGTTACGTCATCTCAAAGTGCGACGCTACAGCTAGTTTAGCAAAAATATAATGATGGAGGCTTAAAACCGGGTTTCTCAAAAGAAAAAAAAAAACATTTTTTTTCTGCCCTCCTCTTCAGTTTCTGGAGCAGTACTATCACCCAGCCGACCTGGCCGAGTTCATGCTGATGTTCGGCGGGACCTTCCAGCACCGCTCCGAGGTGGACCGGGTCGTCGGGACCCAGGGAGGCGGGAAAGCGGGCCTGGAGGCCAGCCTGGACGTGGAGTACATCATGAGCACCGGAGCAAACGTTTCCACCTGGGTCTTCACCAACCCAGGTCTGCTAAGTCTGCCCACTAGACATTTAAAACGCCGCCATTTTGTTTTACAGAGCTGTAACATTTAACCTCACAGTCTCTTTATATTTATTCAAACACAAATAAAATATTGTGTATTCACCTTTTCCATACCATTATTAACTAACATTTTCTGAAATTTGAACCATTTTTAAAAACATGAATGCAATTAAAGGCAAATTCAGCTTTACAAGTAAAACCAATCGAGAAATCCGAACTCTAGGTTTGTTTGTTTGCTGTGTATTTATGTCCTCTCCCGCTTCCTGTCCAGGTCGACATGAGACCCAGGAACCTTTCCTCCAGTGGATGGTCCTGCTCAGCAACATGTCTGACCTGCCCTGGGTTCACACCATCAGCTACGGCGACGACGAGGACAGCCTGTCCGCAGCCTACATGACGCGCATCAACACGGAGTTTATGAAGGCCGGGGTCAGAGGTCTTTCTCTGCTCTTTGCCTCGGGTGAGTCAACGCTTACAGATGCACAGCAACGCTCTCAAAACTGCAAAAACACAAAATATTACCAAGCTATAATTTCAGACAAAAAAAATGCTATAAGTCAACATTGGAATCAGCAGGTCAGGCTTTTTAAAGATTGATAGATGGCGATTATCAGTCAATTACAAATATTAATTAAAGATATTTGCTCTAGAAACTAAACCTAAAATATCTGGTAATTTGTGTTTTTACAGTGAAAACAACTGACCTACACCATCAGCAAAGCATGACCTTTAGTCAACTTTAGGTGTAATAAGATCGACAATCATGTGATGACTGATATGTGTGACTTTTGTTGTGAAATTACCGCAACTTCCTGTTTTTAAAAATGATTCAGAAAACCTCAGTAAGGAACAAAAACTTCCATTTATCAGGACAACACAGAGAATTGGGATGAGTTGGTTTTGTGACCTTATCTGAAGCTGGTGTTGTGTTCAGGTGACAGCGGCGCTGGATGCAGACATCTGGGGAAAGAAAACACCTTCAGGCCCAGTTTTCCTGCCTCCAGGTAGGCCTCCCAGTCCTCCATCAAACCTTTACGCTAAAGCATTCTAACATCTGTTCGTTTGTTTATTCACACCACAACCAGAAATGTACCATCTCATGAACTAACTAACATAAAATAAGGGTTTATTTATGAAATAAAATAAACTAATATTTCCAAATGCAATTTCTTATAAATAAGAGAATAGATGTTTTATCTGTATTTCTGCGTTTGATTCAAAAGAAAAATATTTCTCTATAATATGTTCTGTAATTAATTGGATAAAAAAAAGATTTGGCACTTTCTGCAGATTTTTTGTTTAATACTTAATGCATTTTTCTTAGAAATGCACTAAAAGATGTAAATAAAATAAGGTAAAATAAGTAAGAAAATAAACAATTTTCCCCTAAAATATATCATTTCATTTGTGCACACTTAATCATTTGTTGTAAATGTAAAGGATGCATTTGGAGCTTAAAAAAATACTTATGACATGGGGAGAAAATACATATAAAGACTTTATTTGATCCTAAATGTATATATATGTATGTATTTTGTACAGTTTTAATTAAAGTTCTGGATATTTTGTTCTGTCAGAAATTATCCTTATTTGAGTCCATTTTCTCCAGTTGACAATTAATTGATTTCTAAACTAATTGAGGATTTTTTTTTGAATAATCGAATCATCACGATAAGTCAGATTAAACTAAATATATAGTCAGAGCTACGATGGAGTGGTTTCAAACAAATTAGAGTCCAGGCTTCAAATGTTCCAGTCTATCTAATTAAAGCTGTTCAAGAAAACATAAAACACATCTAGATTTCTTTCTACAAAAGATAAAACCATTTATAATTTTTCTTTCATGAATTCCCCAATAAGTGTGAAAACATTAAATGTTTATTAATTGCTGTGTTCATGAGACGGTTTCTAAGTGGTTCTTTATTTTTCAGCCCCTATGTGACCACAGTTGGAGGAACTACCTTTAAAAACCCGTTTAAAGTAACTTATGAAGTCGCACATTACATCAGTGGAGGAGGATTCAGCAACATCTTCAAGATGCCTGACTACCAGGTCCAGAAACCCCACAAACACTTTGTGCTTCCTGACCTATTGTCTAACTAACACCTTCTGTTTTTAGATCAGCGCGGTGGAGGGTTACCTGAAGAGCGTGAAGGCGACTCTTCCTCCTCAGTCGTACTTCAATACGAGCGGCAGGGCCTACCCGGACATGGCTGCCCTGTCTGATAACTACTGGGTGGTCAGCAACAGAGTGCCCATCCCCTGGGTGTCCGGAACCTCGGTAACCCAAACCCCCGCCGATCCATAAAGTATCGCATTAAAATTACTCCTGAACCATTGACGACGGACAGAAGAGAGGAGAAAATAACAGAAAAATCCTAACATGATAGAAAAAGATGTTTTTATTTTTCTATTCTGCAACCTAAGAGGTTGGCCCTTCAGCACCACTTTTTGATTTTACCTTATCAATACATTTAAGTTTAATCTGTGAAAAACAGAATCTTCTGATTATTCAGTCAGTATTTAATACAGATCATAAAATTATAAGTATAAAAAAGTAAAATATTATGTCTCATAATTTAATACAATTTAAAAATATTCTATAGTTTATAATACTATATATACTGTTTTATAATAAGCTATATTATAATTTATAGGAATGTATAAAATATTTTATTATAAATATTATATTATTTGATGCTTCTTTTTTATAAATTCAACTTATTCTGAAAATGATCAATCGTCGTGATAAGAGAAAATGGCCGCTTATCAATTGTTTGTGGATCAATGAGATCAATCAACTTTAGATTCAGTCATTAATCTAAACATGATCAAAGTTTCTGCTAAATCAAGGAGGTTTTCTCCTCTCTTGTGAAGGAGCCGTTTGCTTTCATTTCTGAAGTGTTTGCAGCTTCTCTCGTCTCTTGGTCATTCTGAGCTGTCGCTGCTGCTCCTGCCAGGCGTCGACTCCTGTGGTTGGAGGGATGCTGTCCCTCATCAACGGCCAGCGGCTGTCCAAGGGCCTGCCTGCGCTCGGCTTCCTCAACCCGCGCCTCTACAAGCTGAAAGGACGCGGCCTGTTTGACGTGAGTCTGGAGCCTTTATTCACAACAAATCCAGCTCCAGGATTCAAACTTCATCCATTTATTCTTTGTTTTCAGTTTCCAGATCATCATAATGTCAGACTATCGTGTTTGTAAATCACATATTAGTTGTAATTAACTACATTATTGGAAAGATAGATGCAATTTAATTAGAAAAACACATCCCTGATCAGAAAATAATTTTCAGTAGTACCTGTCTGACGACACGAAGGAGGCTAAAAGGAAGTGGAGAAAACAGTTTGAGATCCTTCCTAGAAATTATTACAAGAGTTCATCCCAAATAAAAACTAAATCAGGGGGAGTCCAAACATTTTATAAACATTTTGCAATACTTTTATTATAGGATTTTTTTGTTGTTATTGGAAAGATCATTGTAGCTCCATAATGGTTTCGCTGGTTTACCTCCCTATTGGTTGCTTTTTTAGAGGTCTTAACTGTCCAAGTGTGAAACAACCAGTTATTAGGTTACTCTTTTTTATTAGTTTTCCCTCCTTAATGATAGAAATTACATCTATAAAACAGTTTTTTGTATTCACAAAGGTTACATTTTATATTAAATTTGCACACCAAAGTAGGCATGCAAACAGTTAATCAACTTATACATGTCAGTTATTGGTTTATTAGAATAAAAGTTGTTGCAATTATTAACTATTAATGTCCGTGTTAGTGTTATAGCAGAGTTTTAACCACAGGCAGCTCTGCTGAGTGATTTTCTGTTGACGAGGCAGGAAGCGTTTCACATGTTTTAATCTTTTATTTTTCTACTCAGTAATATACAGGTTCCTGTGGTTTTATTTTATAAATGTCTGGCTTTAGTCATGGGAGAAAACTACATTTTTCTGTCTATTTATTCAATACACAAAATAATGTTAAAATGTTATGTTTTTCCTTTTAAATGTTATGAAAAATGTAGCAGTGTTGATGCAAGAGAAAAGTCAAGTTTTAAGAAAATGTCCTTTTATCTATGAACTTTATTCTAATCAGTAACTTTCATCTCCACGTTGAAGTGACTGTGACGTTTCTCTGCAGGTGACTGAAGGGTGTCACCTGGGCTGCCTGGACGAGAAGGTTCAGGGTAACGGCTTCTGCGCCGCCCCGTTGTGGGACCCGGTCACCGGCTGGGGGACGCCCAACTACCCCGCGCTGCTGGCTGCCCTGCTGTCCCAGTGAACAGAACCGACCCGCCGGAGCCGGGGAGAGAAGCTGCTGCACCCGGATCAACCCGGTCAGGTTTTTGGTGCCAAAGGCGGGACAGTGGAGAGGCCATACTTTGGATTGCTGCTGCTGATTTCTCCATTTTTAATGAATCATCATTCAAGTTTCCTATTAATCTGGGTTAAAATCAGGTTCTTCCATTTAGAGTTGGATCCGCCAGGGAATTATTTTTAAAGCTTTACTGCTGTTGCTCTTTATTTGCAATTCATGCATTTTTACTAAACAGTATTTTCCCAAATTTGGGGAAAACATGCAGCTTCTATTTTTCAGGGATCCTTTAAATTTTATGCAGAAATTGTAGTTTATTACTAGATAAAATGCACTGGACTCAAATATTATATCAGATCAAAGTTCTTATTTTATCTTTCTTTAATTCTAACAAATGCATGCAGTTTGTCCTTCATATCACTGAGATAAACAGGAACACTATTTGTGGCTTAACAGGTTCTTCAATGTAATTCTGCTGGCTATGAGATAATAAAAATGCAGTCATGTGTGGGTTTGACAGTGACTCAGCAGTTTTACCCACAATGCACTCTTTGCAAAATCACAAATCAAATAAATTAAAATAAAAATGTGAGGCTTTTTTTTTTTTTATTGTATTGTGTCGGAAAAACATCCAGAAGAAAAAAATTAAAGATTTTTTGATACTTTAATCAGAAATGTCTGTTTTTTAAATTTATGTTGGAGTTTTGATGTTTAACTGTTCAAAAAGACAAACAAATGAAGAGATTATGAGAAAAATGAGAAAACAGATGAACCTCAAATATGAACTGAATTTTGGTAATTCAATTAAAAAAGTTGATCTTGTAAATTATAATAAATCAATGTAGAAAAGAAAAAATGAGCTCAGTTTCAATTCAGATTTTTTTGTTTAGAGACTTTATAATCCATTTTATTTGTAATTTTGTGCAGATTTTGTTTTTGTCATAGTTTTAGCTTCATGGGTTTCATTTATTGATTTCTTATTTTGGTTTTTTAAAATATCTTCCAGTGTTCAATGGGTTTTACAAAAATAAAGGTTTTATCTTTCAGAGCAAACTTGCATTATTATACCATTATCAATATATAACTTGAAAATTCTTAAAATATTATTGGACAGTTAATCCTCCAGGAAATGTTAAAATTCAAATTTTCTGAGGAAATCCGCTTTGAATCAATCTTTTGAATAAAACTTTAAATCTTTGTTGTTGTTTTTTTTTTGCATATTTTAATGTGTAGATTTGAAACGACTCGGCTGTGATAAAACTTGATTTTCTGTGCAAACTCTCTCGACCCGTTCGGTATCAAGTTACTCTCAGCGTCTCGTGTTACTCCAAACAAAACAAACCACAATTATTATTCACAGCAGCAGCAGCTGCAGCGCTATGATGTCATTTTATACCTGTAGTTAAATACCCATTTTTCCCTGTTTGAAACTCTAACCAGCCTGTTAAAGAACCATTCAGCCAGTGATTGATTTTTAAAGTAGTTCATTAAAAACTGCAGGTTTAATTATTCACCAGCTGAGTGATCGTTTGACCTCTGACAGCACAAATCACACGCTCTGTATTGGTGATGCAATTGGGAGAAACTATTTAATCAATGATATCTACGGAAAAAACAGAAATAAAATCACGTGGTTATCTGCATGTGTTGTAGAAAACGAAAAGCTATTCCCGCACAAATCTCCTCCTGAGAAACGGAGCCGTGACGGAGAACAAAGGGAAACGATCTGTGAAACCTTGCAGCAAGGCCTACAGGACCGTCTTAAATACATACAGACCACAAAGCTTACAACAAACAGTGTACAATATGCACACTTAGGGAGGAGGTACAAAACTGAGAAGCTGGTGAAGATTAATGCAAATTTCACAACTATTTGTGTAAAGGTATAAATAACAGTTTTCCAGGTGCAGATCCATGAATTAACATCTTCATGAGAAGAAACTCTAAAATATTCCATCCGGGTCGAGGCCAGCTTTGTTGGACCTCCGTTTATTATCAAAAGTTTCACAAAAAAGGGAATTGTTTCTGGTTTTTTTTAATCTGCAGTACAAAGAGAGTCGTCTCACAGAAAAAGCAGTCCAAGCAACATTAGGTCAGTTCACCCAGAAGCAGAGGGAGGTCCTCCGGTTTTCCTGCCGGTTCTGGTCGTTCGGGGTCTTACTGGTTGTTTTTGGCTTTGGCGTGTGTGAGGATGTGAGACTTCAGGTTGGTCGACTGGGCAAATTTTTTGTTGCAGCCGTCGAAGGGGCAGACGTACGGGCGGTCTCCAGTGTGAATCCGCACATGAGTGCGCAGGTTAAAGTCCAGAGAGAAGCGCTTGCCGCATCCCTCAAACGTGCACTATAAGGAGGAGAGCGTAAACGTTTCCACTCACGTTTTCCCAAAACATCTTTTATTTGAAGTTTAGAAAGTAAAGGAACTCACTTGGAAAGGTTTCTCTCCTGTGTGGACCAACTGATGTCTCTTCAGTTTCGAACTCTCCACAAACGCCTTGCCGCATTCTGCACAGACGTGCACGCGAGGCCCGTGGGTGTGCAAATGCTTCCTCATCGCCGAGTTGTCCCTGAACATCTTGGTGCATCCCTGAAACAAAAACAAGAAAGATAATTCACAAAAAACAAGACGGACAACTCCTGGGACGGCTGCAAAAACCCAAAAGTATTTAGACTAATTTCTACTGCAAATATTGTAGTTTTCTTTACTTACAAGTCACTTTTTGAAAAGATAGGAGTTTGTTTTAAGTCAATAACTCCTTAATATTGATATAAAAATGCTAGTTCAACTAGCAGACTGTTTCCCTTTTAAAATGGGGAAAAATATCTTGAAATAATCTTTTGTTTTCATTAATATTAAGGAATTAATCACTTAAAATCTTCTGTCGTATTTCAAGTGTAATAAATATTTGCGCCAAAAAAAAAAAAAATCTTGTTTTTGCAGTTTACTGAATTTAAAATCTGACTCACTTTATGTGGACAGGCTATTGTCCTGGGTGCATCATCTTCTTTTACTTTTCTTGGCTTCATTCTGCAACATGAAATAGGTCACAATTATACCAGAACCCAAAGGTTGATTTATTGAAGGGTTTTAAATACAAACATAATCATAAGCAATGTAAACCCTAAAAAGAATATACACAGAAGTGTGATATTTTAAGTATGACTGAATCTTAAAATAAATAATAATGGAAATAAAAAGCAAATTCACAGAGGGCTCACTGCTGCCTTCACCATGTTTGCCTCACGTCACCTTTTTGAGTTTCGCACCAACACTTTTTTTTTTTTGGATGGGTTCTTACCGTGCAAACTCTGCCAGCTGCTTGGGGTCGGACAGGTCGATGCCCGGGATGCCTCCTGGCGGGAGCTTCTTTCCCGTCATATATTCAGAATAATCTGGAGGAGAGTTCTCCCCTGCGATCTGATCCTCGTGAACAATATCCTTCTTGTCATCTGAGCAAGAACGGGACAGAAAGAAACTGAAGATCAATCATCTGTTGCTTCTTAAATAGGCACTGAGTAAATGCTGCAGAGGTTAAGAAATTCAAATTCAACTTTAGTCACTTGTATTCAAACTGTAAAGTTCTTTAAATACAACATCCATATATCCATCCAGACTTTTTGTAAGGGAATAATAGACTGGTTTCCACTTTTAAGCACGATTAAAAGGCCAGATGCAAGTCTCATCGATGCACAAATAAATTTTAAATCCTGCAAAGGACGATTATTAGAAAATTTTTTAATGTGGAAGTTGAGTAAAACTCCATTGCACAATTTCTTAAGCAACAAGAAATATCTCAACAGTTTTAGTTGTAACTTGTAGTAGTTGTCAAATATGGACTTTAATATTTTAAAATATTTTTTAAATATACCTTGAGATTTATATGCATTACTTAGTTTATTTTTATATCTGCACTATCTTGTTTGTCGTTATATTATTTAAATTGATTAGCTTTCCAGAAAAGTCGACCCTAAAACATGATAGTTTACAGCTTTCATACAAAGGTCAAAGATTACGCTAATCACGTTGTTTTATCCATTTTAAACGTATTTTAATGTTTTTTTGTTATTATGAGATGCAAAATGTATCCGTTTTTGTTTAAATGTATTTATGGTTTGATTTTAAACCATAAATTTGAGATCAAAGCCTGAGAACTGTAAATTCCGAGGCGCCCCTGAAGGCATCTCTGGCTGCCGCTAACTGAACTGCGCCACAGCGGCCCAGCGGAGCTAGCAGCTACCGCTCCCCCTGTCGCCGCCATCTTCGTCGGCCAAATAAACGCCATTTTTTCGGGCCGCCATACTTTCTGGACCGGGGAAATATGGCGGCGCCCATTGACACATAAAACATGGCTTCCCATAAAAACAAACACTTTTCAGGGGAATTTTAAGTCGCTTTGAACCGTGGCAAAGCCTGAGACTTTAGCGGAGCACAAGGCCGCAGCTGGGCCCACTCACACCGAGAACAAAGCGAGATCAGCAGCTTGCAGGAACTCACCTGAAGCCCACATAGTAACAGAAAACTCCCCCTCCAAAGTCTTTATCTGGACCTGCTTCTGCTCCCACTTTCGGCCCATCTCTCCACCGCTCATGTAGCTCCTTTTGCCCGCTTTCTTCCCGCTTCCACTCTTCTTAACCCGGCCTGCGGACGTGCTTCTCCCGGCTACAGTAACCAGAGTGTGCTCGATGTAGTCCTCCTCAACGGCGGGGACGGGGATCAGGATTTGGTCTTCGTACCCGTCCTCCGTGTGCAGTTCCGAGTCCTCCTCGCCGACCACCTCCTCTCGGGTCTGCACCAGGATCACCTCCTGGTGCGAGTGGAGGTGGTGCGGATCATCCAGCGGTTGTAAGGCGATCATCGGCTGCTGTTCGCCGTCCTCCCCGACAACTGTCGTCTCGATGGTTTCCACCTCGATTTCATGAAGTTCGACTATTTCTGCTGGCATCTCCGACCCGTCCGTTTCGATATACAGGGTGTCCCCTGACGCCATGATAATCCTGATTCCTTTGCGTGTTTATCTGTAAATAATGTTATTTCTATCGCCTCCCCCCCGCTTCTAGCAGCTCTCTTCCTCCCACTCCGACAACAACTCTCTCCACTCCTCTAATCTCGTCGCCACAGTGCTCTAGTTTTTAAGTCTCGCGTGATTTGGATCAATAGTGAATTCTCTGTAGAATGCTTATCAGAATGTATTTTAATGACATTTAAGGCTTTGATTAGGCCATTCTGTGCATTTATTGGTGATTGGATAAAACAGAAACTTAATTTTCGTTTAAATGTGCAAAATGTATTTTGCATATTAAAATATGAATTAAATACTGTTTTTCAGAAATGGTAGAGTAGCCAAAAATTACACTCAAGTAAGAGTAGAACTATTTCAACATGTTTTTACAGAAATAAAAGTAATTAGTAACTTTGCGAAAAGTTCCTCAAGTGAAAAAATATTTGACTAAAAGGTTACTTAGTAACTGTGTAGTTAAAAACCCGAATTATTTAATTATTTAAATATTTTAAAGTCATGTAATCAGATTGACAAAAAATATTACATGTTCAAATGTTGGTATTTTAAAGGCTAAATTAAAACAAATATTACAAAATAAAATGTTATCTATTTTTTAAAAATACAGCTATTCTTACTTGAGTGCAATTTTCAAATCAACTTATTTCACTGAATACAAAACAAGGATGTTTTAACCAACGATTTACCAGATACAAACATTTCTAGCCTGTATATAAGTGGAGATACATTAAAAGGATACATTATCACTTGAATTATGCTGCAATGTCTTCAATAAATGACCTAATATAAGTTTAGCTTTTGTTCTTTCAAAAACTTTGCTTGGAACAAAGGTAAAATTTTAAATCTGTATTTCTATGTCAGAATTGTAGTTTATTTTTGACAAATGCATTAAAATACCAGAATTTACTCAAATTTATACTGGAATATTGACTTAATTTTTATTTATGTCAATAAACAAAAAATATTTTTGTTTGACAAAATAAACAAAAAATATTTAATTTTTAAATGTAATTTTTTAATTTTTTATTTTCTTTTGCAAAATATTTCAGTTACTTAGTACTTGAGTAATTTTACCAAATCCATTTTTTTATATATGGAGAGCAATTTCAGACAAAATAAGTGAATAATTATTTACTGTTTATTGTTATTGTTAGTTATTTATTTACTTATTTAAATAACTAAACATTGTTTATTTATTAAACATTATTAATGTTTGGTCATAAAGTAACATTTTTTCCGCTACTCTAACTTCTGGTAAAACTGACTCAAACAGGGACTTTTACATTTTGAGACCTTATTATCTTCTATCTGTAGGGGGCGCTGTTTCTCCTGTACACCTAACATTCAAACATCCATATTTAGTAAATATTTATTCAAATAACAAGTTACTAACGGTAATGCCTGATTTAAGATGTAAAATTGTGTCCTTTAACAGCCGAAAAGATAAAATTATGTACTTTTTTTTTTCCCCAAAAGGTATCCATCTCTGGCCACATATAAGCTTGAACAAATTAATTAATTTGTTTGCTAATTTATAAAGTCAGGTTATTATTATATTATTATAATTCATCATTATTATTAATGAATTAAAAATATTACAATTTATGAAATGACCTCTGTACACTCTGTAAGATATTTGTGCAAAATACTTGTCAAAATTGTGCTTTTTGTTTATCTATGAAACTAAAGAGTTTTTTCCTCATTTAATTCATAAATGTGAACTTTCCTCCATTCAACAAATGAATAAAAGATTAAATGAATGAGAATATTTTGAAATGACCTTGAAACTGATGAGTTTTAGAATGAGTGTAAAATGCAAAAACAATCTCCCCAAGTATTTGTGTCTAGTTTCACACACACACACACGTGTGTGTGTGTGTGTGTGTGTGTGTGTGTGTGTGTGTGTGTGTGTGTGTGTGTACACAAACATTTCTGATATATTAAATAAATGTCTTGTTCTCAGTCCTTCTCATTGTATCTCTTGGAGCTGATTGTCTCCTTCCGCCGCCGGTTGGGAGGAGACAATCACCGTTTGTTACCGAGTGGAAAACATCCAAGGAAGGCTCCGCTCATGTGAGCAGGTGCACAGGTAAGTGTGTTTCTCCCCCCGCCCTCTACCGGAGTGCCAAAGGGAGGCGCTTGAGATCACACCTGAACTTCAGAGCGGGTCCGCTCCTTTTTCTACCGCCGGATCGCCAAGCGGCTCCATGATGAGAAGTGGAATGGAGGCGGTGGAGAATGTGACTAGAAACAAAGGATTACGAGGTGTTTCTTAACGGACTCAGTGGATCTCTGGGATTTGACCAAAGAATAAATAATTTGACTTACTTCAAAAAAAAACGAATGAGAATATTTTGAAATGACCTTGAAACTGATGAGTTTTAGAATGAGTGTAAAATGCAAAAACAATCTCCCCAAGTATTTGTGTCTAGTTTCAAGTGCAAATATTCAAGTTTCAAGTGCAAATATTCTACAGTTACTTTTCAGCAAGATAAAGGAGCTTCTTTTGAAGTCAATAATTTCTTAATTTTGATGAAAAAAATTCTAAATCCACCGACAGATTATTTAGTTTATAACAAGGGAAATGTCTTTTTTTTACTTTCTGATCAATATTCAGGAATAAATTACTTAAAGTGAGATAATTTAGCTTTCTGATAAGTTAGTTTTGTGCTATTGCTAAGATATTTGTGCAAAATACTTGTCAAAATTGTGCTTTTTGTTTATCTATGAAACTAAAGAGTTTTTTCCTCATTTAATTCATAAATGTGAACTTTCCTCCATTCAACAAATGAATAAAATATTAAAATGAAGACAAATTGATAATCACTTCTCGATCCATAAATGAGTCAAAGGCATATTTCTATAGATGTTGATAAACACAAACCTTTTTACCTGGCAGTAAAATGTATCAATGACAACAAACATCAGAAATAAGCTTGTATTTACGCGTCCGCCTCCCGTCGCGCCGGCGTCCTAATGGGGCGGAGCCCTCCGCAACCTGCGCTGGTGGGTGTGCCCCGATACTGCGAGAGTTTTGATGACACACTGAACTCAGCAACGCCAGATTCCTGACACCGGGAGCGGAGAGGCAGCGGACCGCAGCCATGGGGAAGACAGGTGGGAGAGCAGACTTTGAGTGGGTCTACACCGACCAGCCGCACACCGCCCGCAGGAAGGAGATCCTGGGTAAGACCACAAAGTTTTCCCTCCTGCTGACTCTTGACTCTTGGCTTCATATTGTTCTCCACTTTACCCTGCTAATAGAAACACATCCGGTTAAACCTGTTTACTTGCTGTTGCTTAACGGACCACAACTGTAAAGTGATATAACCACACAGATTAAACCTTTTGAGTAAAAAATAAATGATTTAAATGCATTTGAATCTGAGGGGTTTTATCTTGTGGCTGGTGCTTTATCTATTTACTTACAAAATTGTGAAAAATAATTTTGCTTTCTTGATAAAAGTAACTTTCCTGCTCTTAAATGTCCAATTTGGGACAAAAATAAAATGAAATTGAGGGTAAAAACTCTTCGAGGCCTTTATGGCTCAAAGCTTATTTCTGGGCTTGTTGTGCAAATAAATACAAACACAAAGTTTACAACGAGCAGTGAAATAAGAACTCATGAAATGCATTAATGATAATAATCACAGTTTATTCTCTGTCGCTTCATCTTTTAAAGGTTTTTAAGCAACAATTTCCCATCAGATGCTGCTCCACATTTTTAAAAAACATACATAGTTTTCCATAGGGGGCGCCTTGAGAGCGGGCGCCACAATATGTCCGAATATTTATTTCTAGTTGGCATTTTCTGTGTTTAATAGCTTTTTGTGTGTTAAATCCTGGTGGAGAGCCTATAATATGTTGAATTATTTCGAAAAACAAAAATGATAACTTTCCTCCTTTTAAATATTAAATTGAGGAAGAAAAACAACAGTGAACCAAAAAGAAAAGACTTCCCAGTTCATACACTGAAGGTTTATTTGTGGTTAGAGATAAAAATTCAAACACACACAAAGAAAAACTTTAAATCTGTCAGTGAGATAAAAATCAGGAACAATCAGAAGTACACATGATTTGCAGCAGAATAACCAGTTTATGCTCCAGGCTCTTCATTCACTATTCACAGAATTTTCTTTGACATAATTTCACAAGAAGCTGCAAATGTTGGAATAATTTATTTTAATTGACATTTTGGGGTATTTAGCAGCTGCTTGTGCAGCAGTAAGTACCAAAGTCTCTGACATGATCAGGTTTAAGTTGAACCTGGTTTCCTCTTGCTGCAGCATTTCCAACTTTTCATGTTTTAAATTCTCTCTGCTCACAACTGAAAGCTGGAAGTGTTGATCCTCACTAATGAAAGGAACGGAGAAATGCAGGCTTTTTATTTTCCATTTTCTTCTTTCTTATACATTTTCTGGCCGCTGCGCCACCGGGCCGCTGCGCCACCAGCCGTTGCGCCCTCGGGCGTCTTTGCGCATTACCGCATCATGATGACGCACCGCGAGTCTTTCAGTGGGAGTTGAGGGAGGCTGCGTAAATCCTAACATGTTCGTGTATTTTCACACGATTTAGAAGCCATTAATGTATTTAGCAAAGTTTCTCTCCAAAGCTTCTGAAACATGAAATTTCAGGTCAACAAGGCGGCGACCTGGTGACGTTCACTTGATCCTGGTTCCGTTCCGTTGCTGCTTGGTCGCTCTGCTGTGAAATTAGCGCCTCCAGGTCTTTACTTGTCTGTTTTTTGCGCCTCCAAGACATGAATTATTCAAGATGTTCAGTTGTAATTATGACATCTGATGCCCGCGCGCGCGTGGCGAGGAGTTTCTCATTTTCCTATTGCGTGGAAGATAATGTGTCGCCCTTGAACAGAGCTGCCATTTATCTGAACCTTTTTCTTCATGCGCACAGGACGTTTATGAGCCGCTAATGACGTCACAAATGAACGTCTCTAGTTTGAAAGAATCACCTGAAATGTTAAAGAAAATGTTTTTTCTCTGACATGGTGCAGTAGAAATAAGATGATAACCTCAGTGTGTGTGTGTGGGTGTGTGTGGGTGTGTGTGTGTGTGTGTGTGTGTGTGTGTGTGTGTGTGTGTGTGTGTGTGTGTGTGTGTGTGTGTGTGTGTCCAGAGCCATTAGGAAGTTTAAACAGCCTTTTATGGAAGCTGGTTATTCATTTATCTTTATTCCTCCCTTGTGTCAACACTTTTAAAAATGTCTCTAAACTGAATGTCACATGTCTGATTGAAAACTCCCATCATGCATTGTGTTCATTTTCTGGTTTCTATGGATCTTGCACTCCAACACAGTAAATTTGGCAGTGTTAAAGCAACACCTATAGAGTTGAATTTAACACTGTTTCAGAGTCTATATGTTCCCTATCGGAATTGGTGTTAATGTTACTCTTTCAACAGTGTTACATTTTCAGAGTTAAATTTAACTCTAAATCGAGTAAAAATTTTACACTGGATAACACAATGTTAATAAAACTTAACACTCCTAGTCAAATAACTCTGATAAGAGTAAATATGATTCTAATCAGAGTTAATAAGTTACTCCATAATGGTGAAAAAACTACTCTGGTTCTCATGTTATTTAACACTGCATCGAGTTATTGAGAGCTTACACTGGAGGCTCATATAACTCCTATGAGTGTTAAACTGACTCCACTGTGTAGATAACTTACTCTTTAGCTGTGAAAAAACAACTCTGCACAGATAAATATGAAGTGCTATTTTTACACTTTTGTAGAGTGAAATGTACAACTGAATAAAAATCACATTACCACAGAAATGCATTTAACTTATTTATTGAATTAAAGCAGATTTTAATATCCATTGTTAACTTTTGTCACAGTAACATCACATGGTGTACATCCCATTGACGGCTCGAAGTTGACAGAGTACATTTAAGGCAAAGAGTTTTTCCATCCAAGTTACCATGAACGAACTATTTGTAGATACCAAACAAGTGCATTTGTGCAACTTAACTCTGCCCAACAAATAAAACACATAATGCCAAACAGATTTGGCAAACCTAGCCCGAATTTCTGCCACACGAGGACTTTCTTTCACTTTACCTACGTCTATATTGTACACAGTGGTCCTGATGAATGTGAACATGTTGCATAGCATGGGGTTGTATGTTGTGGCAAACACGTAATGTGCCTTAAACAGTTCATCAAAAGCACCAAGAGAGGATGTTGACCTGCAAGCAATGGCATTCTTGTCAAGGATGATGAAGAACTGGTGGGCTACTTTCTTCCTCCGTCCCACAGCAAGGAGATAGGGTTGTGTGCTCGTCGTGATGGCATCAAGATGTTCTTGGATGTTGGTTCCTATCTGTGGGGGGAAAAAAGAAAAAACAATATAATTACAAAGCTCCAATGTTCCACAAAAACAGATATATGGAAAAACAGCATTTTACTATGTGATATCACCGTAAAACTGAAATCCTCCCAGTGAAACAACCTCGAGTATAGCATAAAATAAAATTTGCAACAAATACAAACCTTCTTGAAGACCACAAGACGCTTCTCTGCTTTGGGAGGCAGATACCTTCCCTGGTCTCTTACGACCCAAGGCAGAGGGGGGAATCAGGTGTAGCAGCAGCAAAATCAATGAGAGGTCACAGTCCCAACCTGTGAAAAGAAACATTTGATGTTGAATTGACCATCAAAACCTAGTGACTACACAATTTAAATTATGTGAACATCACTAAGTGAAGCTCACACAATAATTAAATTCTACATATTGTTGAAAGTCATCCTTACTCATGTCATCATCCACTTCTATCCTCAGGAGTATCAGCTGCCAGGAGAAGTTCTTCAAGGTCACTGGTGGTTGGAAGCTTCCTGCATTGTTGGATGATCTTTGTCTTGAACGTGGTCGTCCATTTTTCCAGAAACTTGCCAGACACATCTTCTCCAAACATCAGGACAAAATCCTGCTCCACCTAGGATGTAGATAGTAAAAAGCTTAAAACATTTCCCAGATGATTGTTAGTTAACTAACAATCATTTAATGATTATTTTTGACGATTAATCAGATTCTTAAAAATGTCTCATTCTGCAAGTTTTTCATGTAAACCTTTTTCTACAACTTTAGAACTGCATTAAAACAAATTTATTTAGTTTTTAAATAAGAAAATAATTTCATCTGATAATTTAATGATCATTTATAGCAAAGGATGCAAAAACATAAAAATAGGAAAAGCTCCATCAATGTAGTGAAGGACTGACCTCCAACTGACCAGCAATGACTCAACAAAAGATGCTAAATAGATTTTCTTTACATAATTTGAACAAAGTGAAGCTAAAACTTTCCCTCTGGAGTTTTGGATAAAACATATTTACAAACTTTTTCTTAAATTCATCTTAACTCTATATATTTTCTGCATGTTTTTTGCACAATTATTACTATGAATATGTTGTTCTTTCATACTGACTCTTTTTGAGTTAGTATATTCAATCGATCAAGCTGATTGATCCTGATTAATCAGATTAATCAATTCAGCCCTACCTAAAGTGTATTTAGTATTGACAGAGAACAGAGGGTTTGGTCCACAACAGTGTAATTGAAAATAAACCCTTATGTGCCTGTTTAACCTGAATTTGCATAAAGTCGTGAAACTGGGAAACAATAAACAAATCAGGAGCCTTAATTTGCATCCCGGCCCCCGTCATGGCCGCCATGTGAGGGCTTTCCCCGCCAGATTCCTGACTCTCCTTGTAGTTCCTGCTGGGTGCGGTCAGTCAGGACAACAGATCCAAACTTGTTTGCCCAACCAGCGGATTAAATTCCATGAAGCAATCCCACTTATGCCTTTTGTCAGTGGATTTTCCAACAGCGACAGTTTAACTCTGTTATGTCCTTCAGCAAAGCAACACCTCTACCAATTAAAGCCGACTTTTGTCAGCAGGATTTTCCCAGGAGAAAGGCGGCAACCTGGCAATACGGGCTCCTTCTGAAATGGACTTAATTAATCCCAGAGCTGCAGCGATGACCAACTAATTATTTTCTTTGCATCAAGAATTTTACCTGTTATATATTTGAATTTCTTCTGTTTTTCTGTAAATGCTTTTTCACGCCACTGTTTCAGTGAGATATTGTCACATAATTTGAAGCTGACACTGCCACTTGAGTTTTGTACATAATGTACTGACTTTTGTACAGTTTCGGATTAATTATTGCTCAGAATATGTTGTTCTATCAACAGCCTTTTTTTGAGTCTGCAAACTCCAGTTAATGATTAATTGACTGCTAAATTATTTTTAGAAATCGATTAATTGCGATTAATCTGATTAATCATGATTAATTTCTTACTTCAGCAGCTAAATTGATTAACCAATGAATGATCAGACCACCAAAGGTTCATAATTGATTATTTTTTTATCAGAATCTGAGCTAGGTGAAGCTAAAACTATGCCACTTAAATTTTGGGTATGATATTGTTCTTTTTAAATTCTATCTTAAACGCAAAATGTACATATTTTGTACAGTTTTGGTTAGATTATTGCTCAGTCTGTTGTTCTTTCTGCAAATTGTCTGTTTTGAGTCTGTATCCTCCAGTTAATGATTAATCAATTACTAAATTAGTTGACAATTATTTCATAAATGTTTTAATCGCAATGAATCAGATTAATCATGATGGAATAAATTATTTCATCAGCTAAATCAATAAACTCATTAATATTTAGACATCAAGAGGTGCTAAATTTGAAACAAGTGAAGCTACAACTTTACCATTTTAGTTTTAGATCGAATATATTTACAAAAAATGTTTTTATTTAACCTTAAATGCAAAATTTATATATTTTTGTACAGTTTTTACTTAATTACTGCTCTCTATGTTGCTCTTTCAAGCAAATTGCTTTTTTTTTGTTTTCAACGATTAAAATCCTACTGAATCGATTAAAGCTTATTTGAACAATTGATTAATCGTGATTAATTTGATTAATCGTGATTAATTTGATTAATCGTGATTAATTTGATTAATCGTGATTAATTTGATTAATCGTGATTAATTTGATTAATCATTTCAGTGTGTCCTTCCTGTGTTTGTATTCTCAGCCAAATATCCAGAAATCAAGACCCTGATGGGTCCGGACCCCCAGCTGAAGTGGGTTGTGTCCGGATTGGTGCTGACCCAACTCGTCGCCTGCTACCTGGTGCGCGACCTCTCCTGGAAGTGGATCTTCTTCTGGGCCTACGGCTTCGGCGGATGCATCAACCACTCGCTGACTCTGGCCATTCACGACATTTCTCACAACGTGGCCTTCGGGAACAAGCTCGCGAAGTGGAACCGCTGGTTCGCCATGTGGGCCAACCTGCCCATCGGGCTTCCCTACTCCGCCTCCTTCAAGAAGTACCACATCGACCACCACCGGTACCTGGGCGGCGACCAGCTGGATGTGGACATCCCAACGGAGTGGGAGGGATGGTTCTTCTGCACGCCGGCCAGGAAGGTCGTCTGGCTCTTTCTGCAGCCGTTTTTCTACGCCTTGAGGCCGTTGGTGGTCAATCCCAAACCGGTGGGTCCGATGGAGATCCAGAACACGGTGGTTCAGCTCCTGGCAGACGCAGTCATCTTCTACTTCTGGGGAATAAAGCCGATTGTTTACCTGATTGCCGGGTCCATTTTGTGCCTTGGGATCCATCCGTTCTCTGGACACTTCATTGCGGAGCACTACATGTTTCTGAAGGGACACGAGACGTATTCGTACTACGGGCCGCTGAACTTCCTCACCTTCAACGTTGGTTACCACATGGAGCACCATGACTTCCCCAGCATACCTGGCAGTAAACTACCTCAGGTGAGTCTCGGGCTAATCATCCGTTATACGGCAGCAGGTGAACTTTGGACTACACTCAACATTTCCAACGTAGATATTAACCGACTGGAAGCACAATCTGACGTTTTATGAGTCGCAAATATTGTCTTAACGTTTCTCTGCAAAAACAGGAAGTCTCACCAAGTATTAGATTCTGGTGCAAATATCTCAGCACACTTTAAATCATTAAAACTGACCTACAGTAACTTTTAAGTAAGACACAGGAGCTTGTTTTAACTTAATAATCCCTCAATATGAATAAACACTAAATCCACTTATAGCAAGACGTTTCCCTGACAACCAGAACAATCAGCCACTGGAACTACAACTGGGTTGCTAGGCGACGGGGTTGGCGTGGCTGCGGTTGCTAGGTAACGGTAGAGTGCCCTTCTTGTTGTATCTATTCTACCACTGGAACCAGGAGCCACTTAATATCGGCTTTTCCTTCAATATTAAGGAATAATTCACTTAAAATAAGCTGCTATGTGTTGTTAAGTTTAAGTTTTGTTTGTCTTATTTCCACTGTACTGAGATATTTGCACTAAAAAGTAGATTAAAAGTACTTGGTAGTACTTTATTCAAAATGTTGCACAGAAATGATAGTTTATTTGTCTTTGAGAGGATCGACTTGCATTATTATTCCTTTGCAATCACATTACTTGAACATTTTAAAACAACTATATTATTGTTCATCAGAATGACTTCTGGGATAATTTCTCATCAGCTTCAGTGTTTCAGATACTTTGATTAGGACATTCTGAACCTTATTTTTTGGAGATTCAGCTTCACGGTTTACAGGTCCTGAAAATCCTTGAAAATGCTTAAAGTTTCATTGAGGTGTTTGAAGGTTTGGAAAGTTTTTGATTTCTGCTCAATGTCCTTGAAAGTATTTGATTTTTTTTGTAATAAAAATGAATGTAATGTTTAATTAAAAGCTTAAATTTGGAAAATTCCATCTACGGTTTTACATATCTAAAAATAAAATAATTTTTGTCACATTTTGAAGTCAAATCAGATTAAAATTTAGATTTTAGCTCATATATTTGCTAAATGCCAAGATTCTTAGCATTATTATTATTATTATTAACAGTAAAAAATGAGAGGACAGAGTCATGAATTGAGACTGTCTCTTCAGTTTATTTGTCTTATTTATGTTTTATCTCCAAAATGTTAGAAAATGTTTGAATTTTAAAGCGGAAAAAGTCAAACTCTGAATTTGAATGTGAACTTTTAAGAAGTAAATAATCTTTTATTTGCTCAGTTTCTCTAAATCCAATCTAATGTTCCATGACTAACATCTGCAGTTAAAATGTTGGACTTTTGAGGTTTTTCTAAGCTTCTTGTTGTTTTTTCAGGTGAAAAGGATCGCAGCAGAGTATTACGACTCGCTGCCGCAGCACACTTCCTGGTTCCAGGTGCTGTGGGACTTTGTGTTCGATGAAAACATCGGCCCTTACGCCAGAGTCAAACGGGAGTACAAGCTAAGCAAGATGGAGTAGATTTCTAGTGATATTTATTTAGAAAAGTTAAATAAAGCTGTTATTCTGCTACTTACACTGCAGACACACAAAATCTTAGAGTATTTTATTCTAGTTTCTAGTGCAAATGTCTCAGGACACTTGAAAAAAGATAAAACTAACTTACAACTAACTTTTCAAGATATAAGAGCTTTTTTAAAGTTAATCATTCTTTAATGTTGATGAATAAATGTTAGTTTCACTGGCAGATTATTTTACTTATAAAAAGAGAAAATGTCTTATAGGAATTATTGACATCTTGCTAAAAAGCTACTGATATGTTAGTTTTGTATGATGGCGTGTTGAGGTCGTAGACAAAAAAAAAAAAAAGATTACATTTCTGCCAAAAAACTCAGAAATTTTCTTGAAAAATCTCGGGAACTTCTGAGTTTGTAAAATCAAGAAATGTCAGAAAAAAATACTAATACAATTGAAAAGTCAAATGTTTTGTAAAGAAAAAAACATAAAATTTTCTAGAAAAAACATGGAAATTTCTGAGTCTCAAAAGTCAAAAACATTTAAAAATAAGACATTTTTAAAATACATAATTCCTTAATATTAATGAAAATGTTATGACATTTTGCTATTAGCAAAAACTGGAACTTTACCATCATGAAAAGTTACTAATAATTTAGTTTTGTCTTATTTAAAGTGAACTGAGATATTTTCAGTTGAATCAAGACAAAAATACTTGATTTTGTGTTTTGCAGTGTAGCTGAAAAACGTTTTCGCTCCTGTTGTTTTGTAACAGTTGATGTGTTCATAGTCGCTGCGTCGCAACCGTGACATATTACACTGTCACGGTTTATCCTGAAAGATGAGATTATTAATCCCACAACACTGGAGCAGATTATGGTTGCTGGGCAGAACGAAGCTGAAGAGGAATGCAGCGTTGATACTTTGAGTGAGAGGAGCTTTTCTTCAGTGACGCTTCGTTTTGCTATAATTCATAAAAATCTGACTGGAGCCGCAAAACCAAACATGAAAAAACATAAATCCATCAGGATTACAGTTTCCTGGTTGTATTTTTATTATTCATAGTCTGGAGATATTATCTTGTTAATATAAATAAATACGTTTGATGCTATTTTATTGCTTGATATGTGAAAAGATGAATTTTGTAAAATCTTGAAGAGCAAGTTGATATTTTGGAATAAAACTTTTATTCCTCATTTCAATGTTTCTGAGTAAAGCTTCGTTTTTATTTACTAATTCGTGGTTTTATTTTTTTTGGAGTGAGTTTCTTTAACAGATATTGAGCCAGTTTTCACATTTCTGATCATCTTCTTATTGATTTTTTTTATTCCTACAGCGAATTTGCAGTTTTTGCAGTTCTGCACTGCAAAAACACAAAACCTTACAAAGTATTTTTGTCTCATTTCCAGTGAAAATATCCCAGTTCACTGGAAATAAGACAAAACTACCTTTGATGTAACTTTTCAGAGCTTAATTCACTAAAAACCTTTGAAGAACTTTTCCATCCATATTATTTACTTAAGATCATTTTAAATTACTTTTGTTTTATGTCAAATTTAATGAAATATTTGCACTAGAAATGACAATACTTGGTATGATTTAGTTTTTGCAGCGCATTATTGAAATCAGCTCATTAAGTAAAACAAAATATACATTAATGTAGTAATAATGCACTGCAAAACCAAGTTTGTGTGGTCTAGTTTCTGACATATTACACTGAAAACAAGGCAAAAACTCATTTACAAGTAACTTTTCAGCAAGATGTATCGCTTTTTTAAAGTCAATTAATGATTTTAAAAAGTTCTAGTTCCAGGTTATTTCACTTACAATGTGGGAAAAGAAATTTTGAAAGTGGTTCTTAAAAAACACTGAAACAAATTTCTTGCTGAAACTTTAAGTATGAATTTGTTTTGTCTTATTTAAAGTGTACAGAAATATTTAAAGATTGTTTTTCAGTGTACTTATAGTGTCTAATATGTGTGAAAGTGACTGAAATACACAAATTGACTGAGATTTAGTTTGAATTGGAATAAATTTACTTCCAGCTTTTAAATGAGAACGATTCGAGCGCAGACAGAAACGCCAAACCTTCGTTTCACTCGGCTGCAGATAAAAACGCAGCGATTCGTTTCCACCCACATCATCACAGTCAACATCTGACCTACAGCAAAACGGGGAACCTTCGTAGAAACAAACGTATCACCATGTATATAGATTTTTAATTACGTTTGGAACCAAATAGAAAACAGACGGAGGGAGGTTCATGCATACTGGGAGGTTCACAAAGCGAAGGATGACCAGTAAAGATCGTTCCACACGGAGAGGAAAAACACATTTACACCCATCAGGCTGCTTCAGCGAGCGATTCCCAACGTTTCTCCAGCCGCACTGCAAAACATCAACCTTACCAAGGGTTTTATTCTGCAAATAACTTGGAATAAGAGAAGTGACTTCAGAAAGATGTGAGCTTTTTAATCAATTCCTTATTGTTGAAAAATACAAGTTCAAAAGTCAAATTATTGACTTAGGAAAAATGTTTGAGTTTCAAAAGTTTGGAAATTTTCTGAAGTCTGAAACTCAGAAAAATCAAAAATTTCCTGCAATTTTTTTTACTTTTGGAGCTCAAGATTTTTTCAAGAACATTTCTGAGATTAACCTCAAAATTTCTTTTTTATCCCGTAAAGTTTCAGGAAAAATTTTCAATATTTACTTTAAAAAAGTCTTTTTTTTTCAAGAACATTTCAGAGATAAATTCAAAATTTAATGTTTTTTTCAGTAGGTTTTTGGGAAAATGTTTCAATATTAAGGAATTAATAACTTTTAAAAAGCAGAAACTCAATAATGTCTTATTTTGAGGCTCAGAAGTTTCCAAGTGTAGAAGCTTGTTTTAATAATTAATTCCTTAATATTGAGGAGAAGTTTTTAGATTATCTGAAGAAAAAAAAGCCTTTTTATAAGCTAAACGTTTTCATCAATATTAAGGACTTGAATATTTAAAACAAGCTGCTATATCTTACCGAAAAGTTACTTGTAAGTTAGTTTAATTATATTTTAAGCTTACGTAGAAACTAGACAAAAATACTTGGTAAGGTTTTGTGTTTTTGCAGTGTAAACAGGCTGCACTTCTAAATGTTCTGAGATTAGAGGTAATTTTCATCTATGGAGAGAAAAGATTAGACGTACAACACCAGTATGACCAGTATGAGTAAAGTTATAAAATGTTTTTTTGTTTTAAATATGCCGTTAAAGAGCGAGAGTGTCTGCGGCTGCAGCTTCGCCCGTTTTGTGCTTGTTCTCATGAAATGTTCAGGGAGAAAAACGAACCGAAAGCGACCATAGAAAATATAAAAGCAGACAGAAATGGTGTGCAAGATTCCTTTGTCCTTCTCTAATACCAAGTAATACTCATTGTCATCGACAGCATCATCATTATCACCACAGTTTTAAATAATAAAACAGTAAAAACTTAGAAAACAAAAATATTTTCTTCATAAGACTCAACAGAGACAAAAAAAGCTGCAACACTGGGCTGACTGAGTCTAGGTGCACAGAGAGGACCACAACACCGAACTCAGTACAAACGTCTCTTCACTTCTAGTCCGGGTTTCCTCCTTTCCTTAAATTAATCACAACATCTCAGTCTTCCCCGCTTCCTTTTTGCTGTCCAGCAGACTTAAATGTTGCCGCAACGTCTCTGCAACAGAAACATTGAGAGAACATTCCCCGGTCCTCGTGTCTGTGCATCTGCGCGTCCGTCCTCCGTCTGCCGCGTCTTCGTCCGCCTGGCGGGACGGGATTAGGATGTGCTGATTCTGCCGATTTCATGTCTGATGGCTGCAAGAAACCAAACGGAGAGAAACTGAAGCAGCTTATCTGACTGTCGGATTGGACGAGTTTATAGGAATCGAACTGCAGCGACGAAGACGGTGCACTGCAAAAACAGAAAGTCTTACCAGGTAATTTTATTCTAATTTCTAATGCAACTTGCCTGGAATACTTGAAATAAAACAAAACTATGGAGGTGGGTTGGAAACATTGCAAAAAGGAAAAAGAAAAGAATAAACGTTTGCCCAAAAATGCAGAAATTTTTAATCAATTCAATAAATTTTATAGCAAAAAAAGTTGAAAAGTTTAAAATTTGCTAGAGAAAACCCCACAAATTTTGAAATTAATGTTTGAAATAAAAAAGTTCCCCAAATTTGAGATTAACATCAGAAACTGTCTATGAACAAACCATGAGAATTTAATTTTTTAAAAATCCATTAAATTTTTAAATTAATCCCAAAAAATTTCACTAAAGAAACTCAGAAATATAAGTTTGATAAGTAGAACATTTTCTAGAAAAAAAATCCCTCAACTTTTGATTTTTGTCTCGGAAATTGTCTACAAAGAAAAAAAAAATTCTGAGTTTGAAAAGTGGAAAATTTTCTAGAGGAAACAAATGTTTGAGGTAAATCTAAAAATTCTTCTGAGTTTCAAATGTAAATTTTTTTTAATAGAAAATTTTTAAAATTTCTCTTTTGAAGCGTTCTGAGTTTCTTCTCGCAAACTTTTCACTTTTCAAACTCAGAAATGTCAAAATTCTCCTAGAAAATCTAAATTTCCTGGTGAAAATTTATAAATTTTTTCTAATAACAACCCAAACATGTGTTAAAAAACTAACTTAAATGTAACTTTTCAGGAAGATACAGAAGCTTCTTTTAAGCAAATAATTTCTTAATATTGATAAAAAACATAGCAGGTCAAACTGATTATTTTACTTTTGCCCAAAAAAATTAAAACGTGAAATAATCTGCAGTCGAACTTGTACTTTTAAAGATTATTTTTACCAATATTAAGTTTTTTTGTAAGACACAAGCTCCTCTGTCTTGATGTTAAGTTACTTCTAAGTTATTTTGGTCTTTTTTCAAGTGCACGACAATAATTGGACTAAAAAAGTAAACCAGAAACACTTGGTAAGAGTTTGTGTTTTTGCAGTATAAAGATTTTTGCAGAGAAAATAATAATTCCTCAATATAGATAAAAAATAACTGGATTATTTGCAGTAAGGCATTTTTTTGTCGCTTACCATTAATGATTTCATCTTTCACCTTGTGCAGCTCGCGCACAACTTCATCCAAAATTTCCTATAAACAAGCAAATAAAATCTATGTGAGCTAATTTTCCAGTAAATCCAGTTGACTCTGATGGGATCACCTGTTTCATCCTGTCGAATTCCGTGTCGGCTTCGCTGGTGCTGCCGATGGGTCTCACTCTGAAACACAAACCGGATTTACTCTCCGCCGCTCGTTAACTCATAACGGCTTCATTCTCAGCCTGCTCACCTGGACACCAGCGAGGATTTGTCTGCAGAGTTGGACCGCTCCCACGGCTTCTTCAGAGCGTCTGCAGAAATACGCGCAAACTGAATTAGCATCGGAAAAATTACCGGTTGTAAAATAAATACACTTTTTTTCAAAGGTCCAAAACTACTGAGAACTGTAACAACTTTATTTTAAAGCGAATATTCTCTTTTTTTTAATTGTTAGTTCAAAACATTCAAGAAATTATTATAAGCACATATATTACAGTTTTAGAGGAAAAACTGTTTTATGTGTTCACTGCAAAAACAGAAAATCTTACCAAGTAGTTTGGGTTAATTTGAATGTTAGTGTTTTAGTTCAATGTGGTAAAATTAGCTTCCAAGTAACTTTTCAGCAAGTTTTATGTAAATATTTCCTTAATATTGATAAAAAAAATAACTAGATTATTTTCACTTGTAGCAAGGAATTTTCCCACATTGTAAGTGAAATAATCTGCCAATAATCTGCTTTTTCATCAACATTAAGAGATTATTGACTCAGAACAAGCTAGAAAAGCTATTTGTAAGTTATTTGCGCTATATAAATCATAAATACTCGGTAAAACTTTGTGTTTTTGCAGTGCGCGCATGAAAAATCTCACAGAAGTGCACAGTTGGTGAAAGCATGTAAATAATGAAGGCATTCCCAGCAGAGGTCAATTCTGAACGATTCTGCTCTGGTTTTGTTGGCTGTGCGATGAAAGCAGAGGAAACCAGTGCATGCTTTGAAAGAACAGAACAAACCGTCGTACCAGCCCATTTAATCTGGTTCCAGTAATGTTTTTTTATTATTATATCAAACTATCCAGTTCAGGCTTCATAAGAAACACTAATGAAGCCTGGCTAAGCTAACATGAGCTATGCTTACTTTTTATTTTATGACAAATTTGATGTAATCAGAACCTTTCTAATCACGTTTCTTGTTAAATTAAGATTAAATCATCTGAGGAATTAATCCAACATCTGGAAAATGTTTTCTTTGTAACCTTGACCTCAAAATATGAAAAAAAGAGGCTGGATGCTGAGCGTTATCCCGTACCTGTTGAGTTCTGCTGACCCGGCCCTCGACCACCTGAATCATCCTGTAAAAAAAAAAAAAGTAATTTCTAATAAAATATTGTTTTTCTAAGAAGAAGATGACAGCGGTTCTGATATTTTGATCTCTTATTTCACCAAATAATTCAATATTTCATCCAAATCTTTCACATGCGGAAAATATAACATGGCATAGAAACAACTTTTAGCCACGGAAAAATTAAAGATGGCAGTTTTTCAAGATGGCCACCGTGATCGTCATACTGATTTTGACAATACTATAACTGGTTACTGTATGGATAGGATGACCAACGTAGTAAACATGTAATGTAAAATAAAGTTAATTAAAGTTATGAAACATTTTACGGCATTAAATGGTTTAAAAGGCTGAAAAACAGCAACCATTTTGCAAAATGGCCGTCATTTTGGAACTCAAATGGCTAAATATGACAAACATACGACCTGAGGAGTGAGCATGCTAAAATGCATCATCTGAACTCTGGACTATAAAGAAACTTTATAGATTTTTGTTAAAATGTGCAACTTACTTCGTCAGGTTTCTCTGAAGCTTTTCGTCTAAGAGAGAACAAGGGAAGAACGGTTTGAACTCCAGGAATAAACATAAACACCGTTTGCTAAATGCAGACTGTGCTTCCTGCTTCATCGAACTGTTGATGCTTTACCTGCGAGCTAGTAAGGCATTCATCTCCTGCATAAGCCCCTCTCCGCCGCCGCCGCTGCCACCACTCGACCGGTTGGAGTCACATTTACCCCCGGAGCCGGGTGGGCTGCTCTCATCCTGGAGGAAGTGTTGAAACAACACGGAGGTCAGCAGAGGTCACCAGAGCCACTTAGTGGAGGGAAATTGTGGTTCCTGTGGCTAATTAAGCAGTTGTAGAAACTAGAGATGAATGTCAGTGGAGAACATCTTAAACTCAGATTAAAGGGTTTTAGAGTCTGAATGGTTTATTTAAGGTCATCTCACAGCTTAATCTGGATTTTTTTTAAATGCTCTTGGATTGAAAAATCCTTGATATTAAATGTGATTTAATATGCTTCTTTGAACAGGTTGGTTGCTAGGTAACCGGCCGGGCTTCTGGCGTTGCTTGGCAACAGCGCAGTACCACTCAAATGTGGCGCCACCATCAGGAGGTTTTTGAAAAGTCTCATTTTTTAAATCGCCAAAAAACTTCAACTTATAAAACGGTTGGTTGTTTTCAAACAAATGGAAAAACAAAAACATGTAAAAAAGTGAAATCTGGATAATAACATAAAACTGTGTGTTTGTTAAACGGCGGCGCTCACCCTTTGCACTTTGCGTAGTTTGGCTCCAGCCAGAGCTGCAGCCAGTCCTGAAGGCTGGACCCCAGGCGGGCCCCCGGGGGGGCCCCCACCGGCGGGCAGAGGAGGGGGCATGGGTGGAGGCACCGCCATGGGGGGCGGCGGGCCCGGCGGCGGCGGCGGGGCCGGCGGACCGGCCATGAGGGCCGGGGCTGGAGGCGGGGCCACAGAAAGCATCGCTGGGTGACCTGCAGACACGGGGCCACCTGGACGGGGTAAAGTTAGACTTCAGTAACGATGGACTGCGGGAGGGAAGACTGCTGATTTACTGCATGGAAACTATCTGAGAAGAGTTTTAATGTCAAATATACAATCAATATGAAAACTGGGAGGCTACAAAACAAAGTAACAGCAGGAAAACTTGTTTTTGTTTGCAAACTGATGGCTCAAAATATTAAAACAATGATGGGAATATCTCTTAATTTGGGTCTTTTTTGGTTTTATGTTTGTGAAAAAAGCTCCCAACTGTTACCTCAAGAAATTTAATAAGATACATCTAAATTCTTGTGAAAGTTTCAAAGTGTATTTTATCAATGTGTCCAGGAACTACAGATGGAATGCAGCAAAGCATCTCTTCTTTTAATTAAAGTCAGTATCTTTACACACTGTCCCTGCAAAAATAACTAATAAAAACTAGACACAAAACAACCATGGTTGGTTCGTTCCGTCTATATTTAGTCAAAAACTTCTCCATTTTCTGCTTGTTAGTTATGCTAACTATATTAGCTTGAGGAGAAAAACAGCTTGACTCTCAGAAAGGGAAGTATTGTGAATGACATTTCAATAAATTATTTTAAATTAGTGTTTATAAACAATGATTTTAAAAAATTATAGATTTTAATCATTTCCCCCCCCCTGATTCAACATTTTGAGACTCCCCATTGAAAACTAGTATTGGTTGATCGTCATATTATTTTCTGTTCATGATACTGTAACTTTATGCTTGTAATTTTATTTCATTTTATTTTCTCAGCGTGGGTCTAATACTCTGACGCAGTCATCACATCGGCGGCTTCGTAGCCAGTCTGTGATTTTGTTGTCGCTGGGCTGGATGAAGCGTTTTTAAGGGGAAACTTAAGCAGGTTATTTCTGTTTTAAAACAGAATCGCATAAAGAGCGTTTTACATCTCAAACCGAATTCTGTTTGGACTGTTTTCTTTCCTGTTCTGGTATGAATCTGCCATCTTTGTTTCTGCATCAAATGGCTTTGTTTTAAGAATGACCAATGGCTCCCTCTGCTGGTTGGCGGCCAAACTACAACACTAAAAGAAGGTCTAAGAGGACGTCATTAGTTACTCGATTGGGACTACTTTTGTTCTAATAAACTGTTAATCGACAATTTTTCAGCCGATTAACTTGTTCTATCCCTAATCCACACACACTCCTGTTCCAACCCAACACACACACCCACCCCCCACACACACACAGAGTGAAAACTCCTGTCACTTCCCTGCTGAGCCACTTCCTGCTCCTCTCCTCCATACTTACTGCTGCTGGCCGCGGGGGCCGGCTGGGGGACAGGGGAGGGGGTCTTCTTGGGAGAGCCCCCGTCTGACATGGCAGTGTAAGAGGGGGGCGAGGAGGATGAGGAAGATGAGGTGATGGTGGTGGGGGTCTGGGCCTGCTGGTGGTGCTGGTGTTGTTGGTGCAGATGCTGCTGAGAGTGGAAGGTTAACTGGTTCTGGGGGTGATGGTTGGGGCCTGACTGACCAATCAGAGGAGGGAGGGGGATCGCCTCGCAGTACTGCGGTGTGAGGGGGAGATGCTGGGAAAGAGGAGAGTAGGAATCGTCTGGCTGGCCGTTGGAGTGAGGGTGTGGCGGCTGACTGAGGCCCCCAACGGCAGGAGGTTCAAGGGGAGGGGGCTTCATCCTAGTGCTGACTGGTGGAAGTGGGTGAGCTACTGGGAGGACTGGCTGCGGGTGTAACCCCTGCTTCACTGGCATCATTACTGGAGGGGACGAGGAGGGTTGGGGGTACATCTGCTGCAAGTGGGAGGCAGACCAGGTGCCATGTTTGGGGGGGAGGAGGATGTCCTGCTGTTGTTGTTGCTGAAGGTGGCGGGCCGCCGTGGGAGGGGACAAGGGGATCTGACGGACCTGACGGCCCTGGGTGTTCACTCCTGTCTGGACTGGGGAAAAGGCAGAGGCGAGCGAGGTGGAGAGCTGGGACGACAGCTGGGCCTTGTCCCGAATGGCCCCCAACTCCTTCTCCTGAGACGGAGGAGAGGAGGAGGACGCCACACGGACATAGGAGGGAGGCAGTGTGCTAGCTCTGAACTGTCTGTACTCAGGAGGAGTGTCTGGGTGGGTGGGAGGGGTGGACACTTTATACTGGAGGGTGGAAACGACTGCGGCGGGCAAAAGGTGGGAGAGACAGAGAGAGAAAGAGATGCAGACGAAGGAGGGCAACAAACAAAGGAGAACAGAAAAGAGAAAAACGTGAGAATAATGAAAAGCAACTGAACATTCAAGCAAGTAAGATGAGAAAAAATCAGGAGCAGTCAAAAAACAGAAGCAAACAGCAAATAAGAAAGAAGCAAAATATTGTAAAAAAGAACAAGCAGCAGAATGCAACATGACTGAGCTATGATCGGAGAGCATGTGGCATTTCCCCCCAACGGCAGCTGGAAGAAAGATGGCGGTAGAGCATGTTGCAGGGGGAGGGGGGAGCACTGGTTTTACCATCCACACCAGGGACACAGGAGGATGTTTAAGGGTGCATTCACACCAGCCATCTTTAGTCCGCTTTAATCGAACTCTAGTTAGAATAGAAAGTCCGGTTCGTTTGGGGAGGTGTGAATGTGTAATCGAACCCTGAAGTGGACCATTCAAGCCAACTGCCTGGCCTAAAAAAAACTTGGTTTCGGTTCGATTAAAGTGAACTCTAGTGCGGTTTGAATGCCAAGCGGCCCGGAGAACGCTCCGAAAGCAGGAAGTGGACTGCAGCACATGGCATTCTGGGTAAATACAACCAAAACAAACGTCTTGTGCTAAAAGGAGAATTGACTCATGATCATTTTCCAAAGACAAAGGAGAAATCCTAGAACCTCTAAAATTTGATACCACTTCACTTTTATTTCCATTTTGTGAATAAGGAAGCTGCGCTCATGCATTTTTGTGTAATTTCCTGTAGTGCTTCTTGGTGCAGCGCCACCACAGGCAAGGAGGGGAATGGGTTTTTCAGTGTTTTGTTTTTTTTGACTGAGGGGAAAATGTAACAAATGTTGCAATTTTGGTCCCCAATCGAACCGAGTCTATCGGACTCTCAGGTGTGAAAACACCCTAAGTCTGTTGGTGTGGCTAAGAAGCAGACATGAACATTTATGTGTGCATGGATTGAAATAAAAAGCAGAAAGACTCAGGGAAAATTACAACAGAGCACAGCGGAATTCTAGGAACCTGTTTTATCCAGGAATTTCAGGTATTTCCTACAGGTGAAGTCATCTGTTTGCTTTGGAAACACAAAGAGAGCCTGACCTACTAAAGGGAAAACCAAACATGGGTGGGTAAATATTAATTAGCTCTTGTTCGGACTGTTTATTGGCAGATGGAGGGCGCTAGAAGAGTGTTTTGTTTGGATGTTTGAGCAGTGGGGATCACATAACACGCTCTGTTTGTTTTCACAGGGGGGTGTAGGCGTGTTTGCCGGAGCCTCACCTGATCCTGATGTCCGCCGCTCCCTCTCTTTGTGCGCCTGCATTTGATGTTGCTCCATCATCCTATCAAGTGCAAGGATGTCACTGCTCTGAAGAGCTGCGTTTGTGTTCAGTAAATTAAGCTTAATGATTCATTTGACCGCCTGCTGCCAGGTGGCCAGAGCTTAAACAATAACTCAGAAACTGATTACAAAACCTGAAAAAGATAAGTTTGATGCATTTTATTTCAATTTAATCACCTTTTTCCTATAATAGACCCCAAATCCTTTTTCTCATCATTTTGATCCCTTTAGCTTTTACCTCGGCTATCGGTTTCCATTACAATAAACTCATTTTGATCATGAGGAGCCACTTCATCCTAGTTAAAAACTTTTTATTGAAAAACATGAGTATTTTCAAAGTTAGCATGTTTAAAATTAAGCAAATTTATTTCCATAATTCCAATTTGCTCAATTTTATGGTCAATGGAAGCGCAGCTGATGATGCACTTCAAAAACACAAAATCTTACCAAGTAATTTTGTGTAGTTTGTCGTGCAAATGTCTTCGTACACCTGAAAAGAGACTGAAGTAACCTGCAGCTTTTCAGCAAGTTGTAGCAGCTTCTTTAAAGTTAATACTTCCTTAAAACGTATGCAATTCTAGTTCCACTGGCAGATTATTTCACTTGTAACCTGGGAAAATGTCTTATTTTTACTGATAATCTGCCAGTAGAATCAAGGAACTATTTACTTAAAACAAACTCCTACGTCTTGCTGAATGTACATGTAAGTTAGTATTTTTAAATTTAAGTGAATTAAGATATTTGCACCAGAAAATGGACAAAAATACTTTGTAAGATTTTGTTAGATCCTGAGTGAAAAACATGAAGCTAAAAATTCTCAAAAAGCAACAAGCAACTCATCTGTTCTTGAAAAAAATGCTTTAGTTTAAATTTTGAAAGCAAACACCCCTCTAATGCATGTAATTAGCCAGGAAACATGTGTCAAAATGATACATTATTCTCTTTATGTATTTACATGGCCTGATTTGAATCGTACCTCCTCTGAGCTTCACTTTCTTCTGAGGATGGACCATTTTGGCGCTGAACTACAGGACCTGAAAGACAGAAAAACATATTTTTAAACTAAAAACAAGCTGATTAACAGCAACAATCATGTCAACAAATAACATACAGTTGCCTTAGACTGTTGGGAAATATTTTATATAACCTTGTTATAAAATATCCAATCCAATCTGTTAACTTTCCAAACATTTTCAAGGTACGTTTTCAAACTTTTCCAGCACCATACTTTGGAGTTAAAAAGATACAAATTATACTAAAAAACAGTTTTCATTCATAATTATATGAGACTGTATATTAGTGTCATTTATAATGTATCTTAGTAATATTCTGCATTCTACAGCATGAAATAAATAAACTAAATTATTACAAAATTGTATGTTTTGAAACGTCTGTCTGGCCTGAGAACACAGCACTAATTGAACAAAAGAATCCATAACTTTGTTTACCGTATAAAATATAAAACAATCAATGAGTCATTGAGAAATTAAGAATATTAAATTCTTTACTTTGACACAATACAAACAAATCGAGTCAAGATAAATTAAATTCCTGCTCAAATAAAAGGATTAAACACAATAGATAAAATAAAATAAAAATCTGTTTTCACATTTAGACAATAGAAATAATTTTGGCAATTCTAACTGATGTAAAACAAGAAAAGTTTGGTCTAATTTAACTTTAGACAATGAGGAATATTTTTTTATCTGTATGAAAATATCTGGTTTCAAATGTAAATAACGCTTTCCAAATGTAGGCTTTTAATCAAATGTCGGTTGCACTTTATTACAAAAATGTTTAGTGTGAATATAAAGCACTTTCAAGGACTTTATACATGAATCAAGCACTTTCCAGGCCTCGTTTAAGTTAAAGTATTTTTAAGGATTTCAAGAACTACAATCAGCGTAAAACAGGCAGACAGCAGCTGGCACCATGTGATTTTATCCAAGCAGTTTCTCTACCGCAGGAATTTCAGCCTCAAACCACAGCAGAGAATAAACCAAAAACACTGGGACAAACAGGAACCCTGGCAATAATAAAGGAAAATGTATCCAAATTAAAATAAATAAAAAACCAGCTGGTGTTGAATGTTTTAGTCGCTCAGTTCAGCACACGCTGATTCTGAAGTGGCGATCAACAGGGGGTCGCTTGTCACGTATCACCAGAATACCAGTCATTAGACTCCAGCGCCCAGTGTGCCATCAGGATCCCCGCAGGGTGATATTTCCGTTCAGAGCGTCTGCAGAGTTAGCAGATACTGAGATCGTCTGTATTTAGCTGCATGTTTTCAACTCAGTGTCTCTCAGTAGTTTCAATTAACACCTTCTGCAATTTCATCTTCAAATACTGGATGTCCAAGAAAAAGAAAGATGGCAGTTTCTGGTCAGGCAGTTAATATTCTCCTCATTTAGCCAGGAAATAAAAAGTCGGATGGCGATAACATGATGCTGCCTCTGCCATGCTTCGCGTTGGGAATGGTGTGTTCACATTGCAAAACCACAAAATCTAACCAAGGGTTTTAGTTTTGGTTTCGAACAGGGCTGGACGATATGGCTGCAAAAGGTATCACGATGTCAGCATTTAATATAAATTGATATCCATAATTATTGATTAGTTTTTTCTTTTAAATCTGGTGACCTTTCCTCTGTCATTAAGTTTTCACTCAAAAATCAAACCAAATCTTTTCCCTGCTTTACATCAGATATAATTGGTTTTAAGTTATTTTTGAAATTCTTTTCTAAGTTATCTTTTATTAAAGTGAATGGATATATTTAGTAGCGACTTTTAAATTATGTCTTTATTCAAGCTTCTCACAACAGTTTGCTGTGATTTTGACCCATTCCTCCTGACGGAACTGGATCGGGTTTGAAGGTCACCGTGAAAATGTTCTCCTTTTTAGCTCTGTCCAAAGATTTATTGAAGGTCTGGAATAAAGTGATTGTCCCTCTCCAACCTGCTTAATGACGCCACAAATGTAAAACCAACTGACCAAGTTCGGTTTTGGTTGCTAGGTAACAGGCTGGGCTAGGCCGGGGTTGCTAGGTTACCATGACTCAACATTCCGCAGGTTTTTCAAATGGCTCATTTTCCAAACACCAACATTTAACTTCTTGGTAAGAAACAGCAGCGTAGGTTTTTCTTCGGGCTGTTTTTAAAAGCTGTGGAGAGTCAAATGAAACACAAAAACATGCATATTGTGATTTTTTTTTTTTTTTGTCACTTCGTAACGATTCGATTTGGTGCTAAGATTCAGCTTAATTTCCTTTCTAAGCTTTATAATGGCTGGACATTCCCATAGTGTTTATAGTTCCACATGATTATTTAAGCAGATAAATGGGGAACGTTCCAGTACCTGGAAATTGTACCCAGGGGTGAATCAAACGTGAGGCGGCCTGCAACTTTCTCCTAATATATTGACTTTAGATTTTTTTTTTACAAGTCATAGGAGGAAGCAGCATGTTTGAGTTGGTCCACAGATAAAACTTCTACATCAACCTGACATTTGCAAATCCGTGACACTGCAAAAAAACACCAAATCCTACCAAGTATTTTGCATAGTTTCATGTGTAAATACTGTAGTCCACTTGAAATAAGACAAAACTAACATTTCAACAAGATTGAGGAGCTTATTTAAAGTCAGTAATTCCTTAATATTGATAAGAAGTACTAGTTCCACTGGAAGATTATTTCACTTCTATATAACAAAACATTTTCCCATGTTTTAAAATAAATCATCTTATTTACTTAAAACAAGCTACTAGAAAATTACTTGTACATTAGTAAACTTGAAGTATGGAAAACCTGAGATATTTTCACTGGGAACAAGGCTAATAAATACTTGGTAATAGTTTGTATTTCCCAAATTGTTTAAACTAGTTGATTAAAACTTCAGATTTTTATGAAGGTTCTAAAAAAAACATAAAAATTCTGGTTATTTTGCAACCAGAAATAATTTAGGTAATGCTCACACTTTAAGAAAAAACTAGTATAATTTAAAGTCAAACAGCGAGGAGAATAAAAAACCTGCATGATCCATGTGAAACGCTCTCATCCAGAACATGGAAAAGGAACATATTCAATGTTTTCATGTTTTCTCTATAGCAAATCACTACCTGGAAACAAGTTCAATGCTTTTCCAAGCAGCTCAGCTGCCAATAAATCCATAAACATGTGTGGAAAATTCTGCTTTACTTGTAAAACTCCTCTGTTTAAGAGAATGCGGCTTTTTACTGTAGCACCTGGTCCAAAGGGTGAAGAAATAAATGTGCGGTCACACCAACGATTTGCTGCAATCTGTTTAATTTAAAAAAGTTACTTTTTTCTTGCCAAAGAAGAGTAGGAAACAATGTTAAATAATAAGTATGTATCTATTGGAAGCTGCTGCAGTAGCATGGCAAACATGCCGGATAGTCATGCAGGTTCTTCCTCTACCCAACATGACACTTACTGAGGATGATGACGGCTGAAGAAACCCGCCTGAGGTCACTGGTTGAAATCTCAGGAGTCAGCATGCCGGCCAAACGTCCTTAACTCCACAAGCTGCTAACAGCCAGCCGCTGCTGCCACTGCAGCAGCTTTCAACAGCAAACAGCTGGAGACGCATGACAGCATTTCCCATGGAAGGACACATGCACCGAGACGCAACGACGACGACGACAAAAAAAAAAGGTACGACATTTAGGCTCCACAAGAGATATTTTAGCAACCATCGGGAGGGTCACAAGAATGGGATAGAATGACAGTGCAGTAAAACACACACACACACGCACGCACACACACACTCTGAGTATATAAGTGGCCTGTAACCAGAGATGCTCTGAAGCTATCTGGTAAACTAAGAGTATGAGTAAGTTTAGCTGTAAATACACTTCAGGGTTTAAATTTATTTATTTTTGTTCACTGCACATGTGTAATAACTCTAAATCTGTGAATCACACAGCAGGTGGAAAAAATAGCTTTTCACCAGTTACAATATCTATAAAACAATATTTAAACAACTCTAAAGTTTAAAAAATACCTACACACAAAATACCTACTCACAAAAACACAAATAAAAGGCAACAACTCTCCTGCTCATATTGTTTGTTGGTGCTGGGATTACAGCCGCAGTACCTGACATCAACCAGCAGGGAGCAGTAAAGATCAGTCTAACTAACAGGTCATTTCTTTTACACTTCACTGAATTTACTGAATGTAAAAAATCTGACTAATAATTAAATAATTCACCTGAGTAGCATTATTAGGAAAAGGGCCTTCAAGACATTATCAAAGATAAAAAAAAAGTGATCAGAATCAGGAAATATCAGGGTATAAGCCATTTTGTCAAACCTTTATGCAGAGATTAAGAATGAAACTATCTAAGAAAATAAACACAATGTAATTCTGATAAACAGCATTGTTACTGCGTCATAGTGATTTACTATTGAGCAGAACAACTAATGCAGCTGTAACTAATTCAATGAATTATACTTTCCAACACAGCAGCATCAGTGATTCCCATGATTCCTTAATGTTACACAAAAAATCCCAAATCTGCAACTTCTAGGCCAACTTACTGCAGATGGTTCAAACTAAGTTAAATTAAAACTACAAAGCAGGTGAATTACATTAATAGATAACAACTATTTAAGAGTTCTCTCTTTTTTTGGCTTTTTTTCCAACTTAAAATGTGCTGATTACAGCATTATTTATGAGTTTAATTCTCATTAAAGTCGACTTCGCCTCACCTCCGCTGTCGGGGGAGCTGAGGACATTGAGGGCGAACAGCATGGCGTTGGAGAAGGTGGTGGCCTCCTCCTTACTGGCAAAGTTCAGCCCGTAGACCTGCCGAGCGTCCCGCCACTGATGGAAGGTCGGGGTGGCCTGGTTGTATTTCAAACCCTTCACTATGGAGTAGTTGATAACCACCTGAAAGAAAGAGAAAGACGTATGGAGATTTTATGGTGGATTCACATCAGCTCTGTTCAGTGCGCATTAATCCATCTCAAGTCCGTTTGGTTCGTACAGTGAGGTGTGAATACGTAATCGAACTCTGACACAGACCAAAAAAGCTGACAAAACCTCATCCTCGGTTCGGTTGAAGTGAACTCTGGTTTGGATCGAATCTTTATGTCCGGATAACACTCCAAAAGCAGGAAGCAGACTGCAGCGCAGGGCATTCTGGGAAAATCCAACCAAAACAAACGCAAGAGTCTCGCGCTATTGGGAGAAATGTCTCCTGGTCTATGACCACAGACAATAAAGAACTCTTACAACCACAAAAACACAAAGTCCTGACAAGTAACTGGCACTTCTAGTAAACTTTAAGGAATTATTGGTCTAAAATATGAAAGTTATGAAACTTGTGAGTTAATCTGAACAAAAAACTACTAGGTAAGATTTTGTGTTTTTATGGTGCAATTATTTGTGTTTACATTTGAGAAGAAAAAGGTCGCGCTCATGTCTTCTTCAGAGGTTTTCATGTAATTTCTGTCAGTGGTTTTTGGTGCGAGGGAGTGAACAGGTTTATTAGTTAGCTTGGGTAGTTTGACACAGTGCAGTGTGACAGCAAACCACAGCAGCTGAAAATGTAACAAATGTTGCAACTTTGGTCGCAAATTGAACCCGTCTATTGGACTATCAGGTGTGAAAACATGTAAAAAAAGAACATTATCTGAAGCTAAAACAAAGGATATGTGAAGCATGTAAGCACTGACTAGGACAAGCACAAGAACTGAACTGTGTGGTACACATAATCCAAATAATCATTTACAATTCAGCCAGCTGTTTGTTTTTAAACAAACACTTTACTTTTGTAACTGGCTGCTGTGTTTTGCGGTCAGTAAAGCCGGTTGGATGTGATGTCCAGGTGTCCCCTCACCTGCTGGTCCTGCAGTTTGACCCCCACCACTCTGAAGGTGTTGTTGGCAGTGTTGTGGTAGATGTTGATGCGGCTGAAGCCCTGCTGCCCCGGCTTGATGGGCACCCACTTCTTACTGGCGTCATCGTAGACCATCACAGAGGCCCTGGCCTGGCAGATGCTCTGCTCACTGGAGGAAGAGGAGGAAGAGAGGACGGTCCATGTTAATGTCTGGAATACAGAATATTTACTTTATTTGTCTCGGTAAAGCGCTGAGACATTACACTGACCCGTTGGGGGCTTTTTCCTGTTTCTGGGAGCAATAAAAGTTAATTATTAAAAAATTTCATGCCAATCCAAGGTTTCTCGTGAGTCGCACAAGCTTCTTGTTTTTAACCACTTCAGGAAAATTCAGATAGTTTGAATTCAGATATCAGATATAATTCAACGAGGGATGCAAGTTATTGATCAAAGCTGATTGATATTGTCCATCAACTAACGATTAAAATAAGGACATTTCTGAGCTTGAAAATTTGAAAGTTTGCTAGAAAAAATGCAGACATTTAAGATTAATCTTAGGAATTTACTAGAAAAAAACAGGAACATTTCCTTTGGCGGAAATTACTCCTTTTTACTCTAATACACAGTTGCAAATGTGCACACCACACTTTTCAGATTTGTATTAGTGAATGAAACTGAAAACTCAGTGAAATAAGTAGAAGTTTGTAGTTTCAATATGATAAAACATAGAATGTTGAAAGAGTTTGAGTTTCTGTCCAAAGTGCGCTGCAGTAGTTTGAGGTGAAAACTTTGAAGACATCATAACTGAAATATCAAAGTGTATCAAAGAAACGCTGCTCTGCAGCAAAAGCTCCATCTCAAATCTTTTTTCCCTTTTTTCAGCTGCCACATCGTCTCTCAGCTTCAAACAATTCAACAGTGATGATAAAGTTCTTCTGCTGCCTTTATCCGCTCTCAAAACAACTGGATGAATCAACTCAAGACGAAATCCCAAAGCAAGAGAACCAGTTTGACTCACACCAGCTGAAAACGGATAATTACTTCTAATAGTAAATGTTCAGAACGGCAGTGCATAAACTGAACGACTTCTGACATTAAGAAGCTCACCAATAAACACCAGATGCATAATTATTCCAATTCTCCAAAATGTTTCCAAGAAGTACATTTATTTCATTAAAAGATTAGTTACACAGGTGGATGCATTTCCAGAATTAAATTTCACCTACTTTGATGATTCTAAGCAATAACTCATGAGAACCAATACATTTACAGAATACAAAAATCTTAAGTTTTAGCTGCTGACTTGAATGTCATCCAGCAAACTTTTTGTGGGTTTGTCACAAAAGCTAAAGAAAATGCTTGATGCAGAAAGTTCAGTGGAAGGAAAAAGGAAAAAGCGTGGGAAAAAACGGAAATAAAACAGCTTTAAGATTATTGTGAAACTCATTTGGGAGAAATAACACAGACCAGCTGAAAGATAATTAAAACTAGTGGAGATTATTTAATAAATAAGAGTATTGATGCAAAATAAACCCTGTATAAACCCTTTCAGTACCTTTACTGTAGAGTGCATGGATATATTTTCAGTATTTCCACATACATATATATATATATATATATAGTGGAGAGACTTAAACTATATCAGTTTAAGTCGAAATTATAAACACGGGTATAAATGCTTGTAATATATCAATCTGTGTGATAAATGTATTTGTTTTTTAATTGAATAGCTGAAATAAATTAACTTTGTTATAATACTCTAATTTATTTAAGTGCACCAGTAAGTATTCATTCTTTTTTATCAGATTTTATGAGGAAATTTATTCCAAACTAATTTTAAGTGGAAAATAATGAGCAATCAGTGGGAAGCTAATGGATTAAAATTTTGTAAATGTTAAACAACGTGGGATTTCTGCAGATTTTGTGCTTCCTGCACAAATGCGAGTAGCAGAGCCTCTAATCGTGTAACAAACACGTCTCTCCACTTCAGAGACGCCGCAGACCACCAGAGTCAATCTGCGTGCGCGAAGGGAGGGGTGCAGGGAGGCGTCGACTCTCTCCTTACAAAAACAGCTCCTATTTCTGGAGCAGTTTAAACCGCCGAGCTGGAAGATGATGTAGAAAAGAAAGCTGAATGTTTTTGTCTTGTTCTGCTTTGTGCATTGCTCCATCATGATTAGGAAAGCAGAAAAAGAGGAACAGAAACGTGTAAGCACAGATTTAAAAAAGATAGATTTCACAACGTCTTATAAGTCCTTCTGCGTGTGACCTTGGTACCGACATTAGATTAGATCAGATTTGATCAAAATAAAAATCGAATCTAATCTTGAATCAGAGATCTAGAGGCTAATTCTCAGTCAACGTTAGGCAACATGGCAAAGACGAGTTGCAAAAAAAGTTTATTTAGAAAAACTTTAACGTGAAAGAGCTAAAAAAAAAAACAAAACAGCCTATTTGTCCTTAATACAGTTTAAACTTCTTAAAAACGGCAAAAATATTAAATATTTCCCCAAGAATTGACGTGGAAATACATTTTTCTATCAAATATGAATCATAGTTTTTAATTTTTAACACCTTAAAACTCATAATGTTTACAAAACTCTACAGTTTTTTAAATAAAATAAGTAAACACTGAAATAAGATCCAGAAATTACATTTACATTTGACTAAATCCTTTAAAACATTTATTAGGTCATGAAGTGGGTCATTCATTAACATTTAATTTGATGACTGATGAGTTTTTCCTGCAGCGTGAAATACATTAAAAAAAGATGGAAGAACCTTAAATCTAAAAAAAGTCAGCTTAATAAAAATTTTGTAAATATATATGTCATATTTAATTTTTTCCCACTTTAAAAAAAATAAATAAATAAAAACGGGATATTTTTAATATTTAACTCATTAAATGTCATTATGTTTACATTGTGCCATTATTTTAGTAGTAAAAAGAGAAAAATATAAAAATAATCTCCATAAAATTAATTTACAGGAGCATTCAATTATTACTATTATTATTATTAGGTCCTGATTTAAGTCAGTTATTTGCAGTAATATTGATTTTTATGGTTTATTATTACTATTGGCTGATAAAAAAAAAAAAACTTCACTCTTCATGCAAAAAAAAAATTAAAAACTGATCATAGTCTAAGATAAAAGTGGTATTTTGAGTGTTTTTTCATATATATATTTAATCATTTTACATTAATTTAAGACAATTTATGAGATCACAATTTTTCTACATCCATTAATCAAAGCCAAATTGAGCTAAGAATAGAAAAAAAGAGTGACACAAAACATCCCAGGTATTTCTTAATATTTAATTTAATGAACATGTTGGACTAACACACAAACTGGCCTGAAAAGGTCAATTCTGACCAGTGACATTAAACTAACTTGATGAATCAAACTGGTTTTCTGAGCTGCAGAGAGATTAAGACTGAAAACTGAAGGTCAAAGGTCAACCAGCTGTTCTTAAGGGTTTAAACTCAAAAACCACGTCTATAGATAGCAAGATTTTTACATGTAAAGTGTTTTCTTTAGTTGCACAACAGGACCTTTTTCAGATTACCTTGTTGTGACAATAAAACAAGATTTAAAACCATTTCCAAGTTGGAAGTTATGAAAAAATACAGAAATGAAAAATGTGTTATTTTTTATTTCTGTAATCATTCATTTCTCTTCCTGAGTTAAAACATTAATGTTGCTGTCTCTAAATGAATATGAACTTATTTTGTTTGCATTATTTGCGTTCATAAAGTACTGCATCTTTTTTGTTATTTTGACCACTTCTCTTTTTCTGCAAATAAATATTAAATTTCTGCTTTGAATTTCATATTCATGGTGTCAGCAGTTCATAGAATAAAAGAACAATGTTCATTCAATTCAAACATAAACCTATAAAGAGTAAAATCAGAGGAAATTATCATTTTAAGTGGTCTCTTACTATTTTCCAGACTCAAAACAAGGCAGTAAATAATGGAAATGCAATGAGAATGGAGGCTAAGTACAGTTGCACATTTCTAGATAAAATGAGAATAAAAAGGAAAGGAATTTGATTAAATCCAAAGCCTACAGTTCATCTGTTAAACATGGTGGTGAGGGTATTATGGTGTGGGAATGACTGGGCATTAGAGAGGCTACAACACAACTCTTCAGTAGATATGTTCAGGTTAAAAGAAAAACTCCTTCCTGCAGCGAGAAGATGATGCAAAACACACTAATAAAGCAACATGGGAGTCTCTTGAAGCCAGAAAAAAGCCAATAACATTTGCAAATCAAGCAAATCCAGTCAGCTGGTTTAAATCCTACTGGGCGTGTCTCCACACGCTGCTGAAGGAGAAACTCACAGGACAATCGGGCTAAATGTGGCTGCAGCAGGCGTTTGGCTGAGCTTCAGCCGAGAAGATCCTGAGCTCCTGCTGAGGTAAAACAACACGCAGACTTTAAGCATCATCACACACAGGAGGAGTGGAAGAAAGACCAACATGACGGATTTACTGGGCCCAAACTCAATGTAGGGTAGAACTTTAGAGTACAAGTTAGTCATGTTAGAATAGTTTAAAGTTACATTTTAGGTGAATCAGAAGCAGAAGTAAAGGGCATCTTTTATGCAAAATTTCCATTTTGCATGCTTTTACATTTATTTGGGTTTCTACTGCTTCTATAAAACGTGCAAAGTGCTTTTGAATTTTAAGTTAAATTAAAAATTCCCTTATTGATCCCAAATGTTGTTCTAACACATTAATTTAAAGGCTTCAAACATGGTGAAGGCTGTTGGCAGGAAAGGTCTCCTGTAGCAGTCTGCATTACAGCAACTCTGAAGAAGCCTCTGACTGAAGATACTTTGTTTTACCAAGACAGTCTGATGAAGAGGAGGGTCAGGGTTGTTCATGACTTTCTTGACCTTATGAAGAATCATTCTTTGCATAATCAGATCCAGAGCAGGACCAGATCAGAACAAGATTAGAACCAGGTCAGAACTAGAACAGAACCAGCCTTCTTCATCAGGCTGCTGAGCCTCTTTAGGTCTCTGGCTCTGACGCTGCTGCCCCAACAGACGAGGTTCTCAACAGACAGATGGAAGATCTGCAGCCTTAGAGGATCTTAACTTCCTCCAGAAGTCCAGTCTCTTCTTATGGACGCTTCTCTGCTGCGTCTCCAGTCCAGTCT